AAAAAAATAAAAAAAAAAAAAAAAAAAAAAGAAGATGCAAGCTAGAGGAGAGGTGCCCTGATAGAAGCTTTTCCTGCTCTCGACTGTAATAGACATCAGTCAGCGTTGTTCTTTTCCCCAGCTGAGGAAACAAAGGTGTAACCAGGAGCAAAGGAGTCCAGCCAGCTCCGTGTCCCTTCCCCCACAGAGTAAGGCACTGAAAGACCTGATTTCACCTGTTTACATTTCTATGCTTTCCTTGTTAACCCAGGAATGCCAGCCATTACCTCCCTGGATTGATACCCATTCCATTTCCTGAACTTCTAATGTTTCCAACAAAGAAAAACCTGATCTGGATTGTGAATAATTTATAAGGCTAACAAGATCACCTGATATATTCTTGGCTTTGATTCAGCTTCTTGGAGAGAAGTTTCAAAGCGTTATGTCTTGGAAATGTGGAATAAGAAATGGTAGCGGGGTATTCCGTTTCCTCACAAGACACAGGACAGCTGGAGTTATGTGTTCCCATGGTACACAATTCCTTAAATTCTATGTGGTCTGAGGTGAAAATACAGACAGGGTGGAGAAGATTATTTTACAGTGGGGAGGACAGAGCTTTGTAAACTTGGTAGCGATCTCAGTTTCAATGTTAAAAAGAGTGTCTAACAAGTTTTATCACTACTCTTTCTCCAGCGGTGTTTATATCTTACCATAATACAACAAAGGAAATGAAATATAAAACACATCGGAGCTGTTATCCTTGAGTTCCTTGGGTCACACTGGGTTCAGATCTTTATTAGCAGCGAGCAATTCTTCCCAGATTTCTCAGGGTCATTTTTATGAATTATGAGCTATGTGGCTAGGAGACGGAGCATTGCGTGACCCTGGTCACTCTGAGAGGAACCTTCAAACACAGCCCCGGAAGGAAGCACATGGCTTAGGCTAAACTGAAGTCATCCTCAGACTTGGCTTGGTGTACGATGGATGAACGTGCTGCCCTTTAATGTCATTTCGTACGCTGGAGCGGATGACAGCCCAGGCGTGCTTGGGTCTCAGTCTCCCATCCTCCCTTGCTGCCTTCACGGCCACCACGTGACTGTGCTGGGAAGAGCCCTGCAGGGCAGGGTTCGTTTCTGGTTCCTTCTCATCCCTGCCCTTTCCTCCTCTCATGGCTCCTCACTCTTAGGGTTTTGATGTTAAAGCCTTTTGTTGTCATGAACCTGCTGTTCACCAAAACCTCTTGCTTAACACCCAATGTGGGGCTTGTTGTCTACTCTCTAACACAGATGCTGTATGAGGGCGTCACCCGTAGTGCATCTTTTTGTTTTTTAAGACTAAAGGTAAAAAGGACTACATTTCCTCTCCATGCCCACACACTCACATTCTCATATACTCACGCACTTACATGCTTAGATATGTCACATACAATCCCATACACTCATGCACATACACACAAACTCATATTCACACACACATGCTCTTATAGAACCTCTCACGTTCCCATTCTCACAGGCTCACACTCAAACATGTACATACTCTTACACACTCATACACAGATGTACACACCTGCACCCTTTTCGCAGACACATTCCCAGGCTCACACACATATCACATGGCCCTGTTCACCACAAGGGTGCCTCAAGAATCACATGCATGGTGTTCTTCCTCAAGAAGAAATGTGAAGAAGTCATAAAGAATTTGACATGATTCACACTCCCTCGGTTATCACTGTGTCTTCCTGTGATATTTGACCTGAGAGCCATAGAAAACCACAAAATCCTTTCCACTCACATTCATATCATGAATATTTTACAACCACTAAAAAGAACGTATCCCTGCTGTGCTGGAGTTATTTCCAAAATGGATTAGAAAAACAGCTTTTCAGAGAAGAGAATGTAATAAGATTTCATTTAACAAACAGTCAGCGACTTCAGTCAGACATATGAAGCTGCATATGAGGAACACTGGAACAATATACTAGAATATACTAGAGTGTCCTCCAGTTGGGGGTAAGATAGGTATGTAAGCAAAACAAAAATACTTTATAAGAACCTGCCACCCATAAATAAGGCTTGTGTGGTTTTGATTCTGCTTATGTAAAACTTTATATATAAAATGTATGTGCAAAGAAATGAATGGTTCTAAAACAGCAAGAGTAATGTCTAAAGTGATATTGCTTGAACTTTTGGGTGACTGTTTTGTCTTCTGTACTATTTGATCTGTGCACAACAGACATGCTTTATTCCTGAAATAAGAAAAAAGTCTCTTTTTATTTTCAAAATCAAAATTTTAAAACCAATGTAAAGATTTGGGCATAAAACCCATCACTCTGTTGTTACTGTTACTGTGTGTCTTTAACTGACATCTTGAAATCAGAAGTTTTGTTTTTTGTTTTTATTTTACAGTCAATGTTTTTGTAAGTCACTGTTTAAGAATAGTTTTTAAATCTCTCATAGTCTATTTCTGTTTCATTTTTGTGCTAGAATGATTTAAAGGTTTATATCACTCTAAGTAACCTTAACCTTTAACATAAATCCTGAAAGAAAATGAAGCCACTTACCAAGGACAGGTGAAACACAGCTGTAGTATTTTAGTAGGTCACATTCTATCCCATCTCCTTAAAAACAGTAAATGTAACAGAAAGAGAGTATTTATTTTAGTTTTGGTGCTGGGGATTGAACCTAGGACCTCACTCATGCTAAGACAATGACAAAAATAACTGTCATCTGCCATCATCTACCCACCCATTCATACGTCTGTATGGACATTTATCCCTTCATCAGATTATGGCTGAGACATATTAGGACTCAGTAAAAGTACATGTGAAGAGGAAGAAAGGTGCTTTTCTTTCTTTCCCCTTGTCTGTATAATTCTATAGTCTTTCAGTGCGAATAGCATGCTCAGTGGCTTGGGTTTGATCCTCGGTATTGTAAAAGTGAAATAAAATGCCTTTCACAGTTATTATTTGGTTTGACTGTGCTCACAGTCTTGTGATGTGGGTATCATTATTTTATATATGAAGAAAACAAGCTTTGCTCAAGACTATGCCATTAGTGGGCCCATGGCACATTCTGTATAACTTTTGTCTTGCTCTGTCTGCCATCCATCCATCATCTATCTGTCTGTCTGTCTATCTATCTATCTATCTATCTATCTATCATCTATCTTTCCACCCATCACATATTGTGGGGTTAGGCTACACTGTGCCAACTTGACTGGATTGGGAGCCACCTAAGTGATTAGAAAAGGACAGTTCTGGGATTTCTGGGAGGGAGGCGGAAGCCTAGCTTTACGGCTCCTTCTTCTCTGGTGCTGCTCCCCTCTCTGCTTCCTGGCTGCCATGAACTAAGCAGTTTTGCTCCACTGCAGCCTTCTTCCATGATGTGCCTGCCAACAACGGGCTGGATTCTCTGAAACCATGGGCCAAATTAAGCCTCACTTCCTTTACACCGTGAGGGTAGGGTACTGTGTCCCAGAAACAGACAAGCTGACTAACACACATGCGCACAAGTGCACTTCCTATGACGTATTCCCTTTCTGCGTTCCAGAGTGGCGAGGCGAGCTGGGGTCGAGAGGCGTCACTCCTTAGTTACCTGGAAGCATGAAAGGCAGGCATCCACACTGCTTTTCTATGTGCCGGGCTTTGCACTCCTTCAAGCACCGGAAAGTGCTGTAGCTGCTGAAGTTCCACAGCCTGATATGAGGGTTGCACTCTCCCCACGGGTATTCCTGGTGAACTGTCTAAGATAAAAGAGAAGCTACGAAAGATTTCTCTCACTCGACCTACCGATTTTCTGTCTTTGGGCTCTTTGATTTTTAAAAATGGATTGTTGCCAGTTTTGCCTCCTCTCCTAACTGGAAATGCCCTGAAGATAAATATAATAGTGGTCTTTTCACATTTATCCCAAATGCTAAACGATACGATCAAAGTAATAATTTACAAAATGGACTCCTATAAGGAAAAAAAATTATGTGGATGTCTTTTTAGCATATTAATTAGTCTACCCAGAAAACAGCAGCCAATATCGCAAAGACAAAATTTCTTTATTGAGTGCCTATTCTGTACCAGACAACAGAGTGGATATCATTGTTTTACTCAAACTTCATGAAACAACTGTGAAAGAGAAATGGTACCACCGTGCCCCCTTAACTATTGTGGGAGGGGAGGCAGTTTAAGACTGTTAATTAAAGAAATTACGGGGCAAGAGGCCGGGACATGGAAACCTATCAGACCCGATGGCCCGGATGTTGCCAGTTCGGCCTTGTTTACGTTCGCCCCACGGGGAGGAACAGGTGAGCAGCTCAGGTGAGCCCCACTTAGAGACCCTTTCTATTGCCAGAGAAGTTGAAGTTGCAAGGATTTAGCAGGCTTCCCAGCGGTCTGTATGAATCCACTGTTACTAAATCCGTGCTTTCAGATAAAGGAAGGCGACCTGAAGCGAGACTCGGGTATTTCTGCCAGTTGTTTAAAAGCATAGGAGAATGGGGTATCTAGTAAAACAGAGTTGTTTGGGCATTTATAACCTTCTCCGCACCACCCAACGCCCCAGACCCAAGCTCCCGTCTCACCTTCAGCTGGCGGATCGTCACCCTCGTGTGCATCCCTACGGGCGAGGACAAGCCCAAGCCATCAAACTGCGGCTCCCTCTTGGGCGAATGGATATCAAAGATGATCCCCGCGTCAGCAAAACCAAGGGCCGAGCTGTCAGTAAATTCCTCCTGAAACAGAAACTCGCGTTTACTCAAGGCACAGGTGAGTTATCTCAGTCCGACACAAGTTTGGGACTTATTTCATCACCACATGATGGTATTTATTTACCTGAGGCCAGTTATTAGGATTCAATCTCTTTATATGGAAGGTGTGAAAAATGAAAACCCGAAGAGGTGTGGTCATGGCTGGGCCACAGCGCAAAGCTCTGAGGGCCACAGAGGCCCTTCTGTCAGAGATGCACACTGAAATCCAGGGTGATGGTGAATCATTTCCTTCATCTTCCCTGGCCTGCTCTTCCCCTAGCCTTTTTTAGTTGCTTGCTGCTGGACGGTCTGTGCATTTAAGAGAATCGTGTGCCCTCTTCTCTTTGCAATGAAAGTCCAAGCCTTATTTAAAATTCAAGTGTATTTTCATAATAGTGAAGATGTACGCAGTTTCTTTAACACCAGTGCTCCTTTGATATAAACCCTGTATGAGATGGAGAAACTCCAGACCCAGCTTGGTCATTAGCTGTAATTTGAGGCTATACCAAGTAGGCACAGGCTTGAGAACATTTTGATTTTTCAGTGAATGGATTAACTGTGTGTAATTACCTTTAATAAATATGCTTAAGGTTCCATCTGTAGCTCAGAATCCTGCCCTCATGGGCTGGTATAACCCATCACGAAACACAGTTGTACTCAGGGGAAATATCTCTGGGTGTTATTCATTTATGGGATATTGCAGTAAATTTGTAGATTTTAATGACATTGTAAAAATATCTGGGAATTCTACATTGTAAAGTTCGTAACTGACCAGGAGTAATATTTGAAAGACTTAAAAATATTAGCAAATCAAACACATACACACACACACACACACACACACACACACACCCTACACAAATATGGGCAGGTATAGGCATTTTAGTGTGGCTTGTATCTGTGTTTCAAGAAAATATCTTGAAAAGGATGAGGCAGAAGTTACGGAGAGCACCTCAACAGAAATTCTTTTAAAATAGTCCACCGACTCCTTCACATAGGGGAGAGGGGAAAGAGCCTTGGTGATTCATCACCTCTGTCCCTGTCACTTTTCACGCTTGCTCTGTCAGCACTGCAGAACCCTCAGCCATAAACCCTCAGCCTCTCCCGTGTGACAGAAGCGGACACGCAGGACAGCAAGTGAGTGCTGAGCTGCAGTGGGGGCTCTGCCTGCACCCCGGATGATGGCACCACTGCACCCACAGGCATAGGGGCCTCCGGGTCTGCACTCTGAGAATTTCTTAGGCCAAGGAAACTTTCTGAGAGCTAAGCTTGGAAAAGCCCACTTGTACATCATTCTTTTCATAGCGATCATTTTTACATCATCTTTTGAGCTACTTTTTCTACCTTTGTCAAATGTGTAGATAATTCCTTTCTAAAATATACTGCCTTGCTTACATGAAAATCTTACGACTGTTAAGTGCACCGAGTCATCTTAAATTAACTGTATGTATTACAATTTAGAAGTCTCTGGTTTCCTTCTTTTGTGGCATGAACACGTCTTGGAATCACAGCAACAGAGCCAATAATACAGCCAAGAATCTCCAGGTTACGCCTGTAAACGTCACTCTTTTAATCTCTAAATCAATAGTTATGTAGAATTCAGGGGAGACTGGGCTGAAGCGACAAAAACAATGTCCAATGGATAGGATCTGCCTGACAGAGTAAATCACCTGTTGTTTTGTTTTGTTTTTGAAATCCTGTCTGTTCTCGACTGTTCTGAATGTTGGAGAGATTCAACAAAATTCAATACCTGATGGACATTGAAGACCAAGTTTAAGCCTCTTCCAGACACACTCACTTTTTTCTTTCCTTGGATAGTTTCACCATGATTAAAAGTAAAACAGTTTCCATATTCAGTGAAGATGTGTTTAAAATCCTCCAACATGAAAGCAAGCCAAATAAAACAAAATCAGTCTGGTGTTTTCCTTACTTCTAAAAGTTAAATTACTATAACATTTTTAAAAAATCATACATCTCTAAACAAGAATGCAAAAATATCAAGAATAGATACACCCCCTGTGACTTATGTGTATGTTCAATGATAGGTTTTATTCCTTTTTAATGTGCACTTTTCAATCTGCATGTGATTCTTTAAATGAGATATCTTCATATGTAATTTGGCATGACTTTGCATTTATAAAATGACACGTTTTATGTTTTACTAAGCATTTTCGGGAGCATGTCTGTACCATGGAGAACAGCCTCACCATCTTCTATTTGAGCAACACCCAGGACTCTGCCCTTGGCCCTGCTCTTCCGCTCCTCCATCCAGAGGTGAGCAGGCACTGTACGCTGGGCTGCTCTCCCTCCCTAACCCGCCCTGTGGCCTCAGTGATTTGGCCATAAAATGTAGGGTGTCCCGAAATGGCTGAGCAGCCTTCCATGGGATATTGCGTGGCCACTGGGGCGTGAACCTAGAATAACATAAATCCAAGTTTGCCCAGAACCTTTTTGGCTGTGCAAGAAAGAAGCCAACCAGAGTTAGGAGATGGAAACTAAGACGGAATCTCAATCATGTTCCTGGAGAGCTTTGGTGCAGTGTTTTTCAAAGCCATTCCTACACTTGGAATTAGCATTTTTCACTAAACCAATTTTTTATTTCCCCTTTCAGCTTAGTAGCACTGGGTTTCTGTAATACACAACTGAAAAAGACATCTCTAACACAAAATATCCTGGTGTTGAGTTTCAATGTGTCAGTAAATGCACAGCAAAAAGATAGACTTCTCTTCTGAAATAGGAGCTCAGACCATTTCTACCTGCTGTCTTTGTCTCTGTCGCTGTCTCTCAGACATTTTTTGTGTGTGCTAACAGAGGCAGCCAGAAGAGTAAGGATGGCACCCCAAATCATGAGCTTGTAAAGTTTAGTTAGAATCATTACAGAATTGCTCACACAGGAAACGTGAGCATCTGCCTGCCTGGAAATCTCATGAATAGATTCTGGATATTCCACACTGGGCCATATATACAGATTAATGACATAAACAGTGACAGTAGAATTTTGTGTGTTAGGAATGAGTATGCAATGCAGCTTATTTATTATACACATTATAATCTCATAGATTAATCCTGGGACCTTCGCTTTCTGTCACCTCTCATGCAACACAGCAAGCACAGAAACAATGAAAGCTGCTTGAAGATGACACAGGTGCTCTTTGGAACAGGCTGTTTGTTGGTGAATGAGAAGAAATAAAATATTTCATTTTGTGAAGTTGTTTTTCTTTCAGAAGGACTGTGCTACAAAAATAGGCCATGGAAATTTCTTTTCTCTCTACTTCCTTATGTAGCTATTTGAAATAGGAAATGTATCTCGTGTATATTCCACAGCTCCTGATATTATAATACTAGATATCACAAGGCAGAGCCAATGAAATATCACAGCTGAGTAAAATCTAGAGTGATTCCATGTAGGAAACAATCTCATTGTGGAACAGTACAAACAAGTCCCATATCATCTTGATAAATTTGGAGAAATGTCAAATTATTACCTCTGGGCCACATGGCATTCCAAAAAACTCACATGCCAACAAGGTGCTACTATTGAGATAAAAACCATGGTTCTTCACAAACTCTGTAATGCTGAAGTTTTGGTTGGTTGAAAGGAAATCAATAGCCTGTTGAGAGTCAGTAGAATTGGCACTGATTTCCTGAGCATGGAAAACCTTGGACACGAGATCCCATAAGAAATAAATGATGCCAAATCTGGCCACAGCATCTGTTTTGAACCTAAGAATAAAAGCAATAATCAGAATAATAAAACACTTGCAATTATCCAGAAGAAACCAAACGTCTGGACTCTATCAGCTTTTTGATATTTTCTACACTGTCCCTCATTTGCAAGAAATAAGAAATAACAGGATACCTAAAAGGTCTTTAATGCGTTGTGCAATTTATCTTGTATTTGTGCACCCATTTTAGTTTATTTCAAACATCTCCTACATCTTGATCTGGTTGAATCTTAATAGATCTTTGAGACCCAATCCTCCCTTCCTTCAGAGGAGGAGGTGAAAATGAGTGGTTGTAAAGCATCCACTTAGACACCAGGTTCCTGGGTTCAAATCCCCGCTCCGCAGCCGTTGCCTTTTCCTCTATGAGAGCTCGGCTACGCTGGAACCGCGTGCAGGAGCCCAGAGCATCGCGCTCGGTCTGCTGTGACGGAGCGGCAGCCGGGGGACAGGTCTTCTGCTATCCCAGTCTCTTTCAGAGCCCCCACGCCCTGGATCCAGGGAGAGCGAGCGCAGCCTGGTGAGGAGCCATCTGCACCTGTAGTAACTGTTCTGTGATGAGGAGACGGGCATTTCCATTTTCTACGTGTCGCCCCCGTGGCACAGCCATTGTTCCTTCCCACGAAGGTCCTGTTGACTTCAGGCCAAGTCGCAGGAACAGAGGCACTGGCCTTACAAAGACCACGTGGCCAGCCGCCTGACGGGGGCAGGGCCCAAAGCTCCCCGCTGTGGCTGCTTCTTCATCAAGCCCGGGTTAGCGCCAGCCCCTTTCCACTCGGCTGCCTCAGTTGTAAAATGAGTTTATGTTAATATAACTGACCTGAGAATGTCATAGATTATTTTTCCTGAAAATATTTAGAAAGGTGTCTGGGATATAGTGAGAGTCAGGTGAAGTATTTGTTGGTAAATGCATCATTATTGTAAACGTTTCCCTGGTTAGTGAAACCAAAAATGATCTATGTAACCTAACTAGTGTTTTGTAATCTTCTTATTTTGCTACGCAGTTTCTACCTTGCATTGCACATTGTTCTTTATACTTAGGCCTCCCATTTGCTTCAAGATGTGATTGCTACTTGCATATGTTGGATATTATACTTGGAACTGAGCAGGTTTTCCCACTTCAAGCTGGCTTCTAGAAAGCCCAGACCAGAACATGTAGTTTACTCTTGGTATGTGAACAGGGTAATGTTGTATGTGATTTTTATGTCCTTCCTGTGTCTTCTTTATGTCCTAGATTATTTTTGTAGACTTTCCTTCAAAGCTATAAATTAAATTTATTCAAGCTGATACATGAAAATTGTACTTAGTAATTGAGCTATACATGGGGTATGTATGATACATATTGATTAAATCCGACTTAACATATCTATTTCCTTGAACATTTTTTGTTTCTTAATGGTGAATTATTCATAATATTTTTCCAGTGTTTTAAAATATACAGGGATTATTGTTACTGTCACGCAACTGTACAACAGCACAGCAGAAGTCTATGCTCCTAGCTGGACATTGGTAACCATGGACCAACCTCTCCCATCCCTCTGCACTCTTCAGTTTCCAGATTGTGGGAACCACCGTTCTTATCTTAGCTTCTGTGAGATGAACTATTCCAGATGCCACATGAGTGAGATCATGTGGTGCTTGTTTTTCTGTGCCTGGTTTATCGTACTCAGCACGGTGGTCTCCAGTTTCCTCCACCTTGTTGCCAATGACAGGGCCGTGTTCCTTTCTGTAGACGAACAGTATTGCATGATGTATGGGCACTGTGCTTTCTTTACTCATTCATCAGCTGACGGGCATTTGGGTTGATCCCATTCCTTGGGAGTGCAGGTGTTTCTCCAACATAATCAACATATTTCTCTTGGATAAAGTCACACAGTACTGCCGGGTCCTATGGCAGTTCTATTTGCACTGTGTTGAGGGACCTGTACCCTGATTTTCTGTAATGGCAGTACTGATTTCCATTCCCACCAACAGTATCAAGAATCCCCCTTGCTTCATATCCTACACATTATCTGTTACGATTTTCCCTTTTCTCTGTTTTGTGTTTGTTTTTTTTGTACTGGGGATGGAACTCAAGACCTTGCACTTAATGCTAGTAGAACTGGAGTTGGGCAGTACCTCACTGTGGTTATGTCCTAGACCGTATTTTCACTTTTCTTCATTTTACCTTGTGTACATACATACAAGCCATTTTCAGCTTTTTCCTAGTCAACATAAGGAATAGAGAAAACAAATCAGAAGAAGAAGAGGTGGGAGGAGGAGGAGAAGGAGAGGCAGGAGAGCAAAGAGAAGAGGCAGAGGCAGATAAAGAAATCTGTAGCCTACACATAACATTTCAGAGCTGAGACACTTTCACGTTAAGTATCTAATTTAATGTCTTCTTTAATCAGCTGTGATCCTCACAAGGCCAACACAGGTCCTTAAACCCTGTGAATAACCTGCTTTGACTTTATGCTGAGATGGTATGAGCCTCTGTCATAGTGGTGACTTTCTAACTATTACATATTTAACAGCCTTGCTTCTCTTCATCAGGACTATTACCGATGATCTTTTTCAGAGTGAACAGCTTACTTCCATAGCAGTTTTGAGAAGTACCTTGTACACTCCTTCCTGAGGGAGGGGCTTGTGCATTACTTCGAGTCTGTAACTTGGAATGACGGACAGAAGCGCAGGGATTTGTGGCAAAGGCCTGTGAATTTGGAATCTTGCACAGGACAAGTGTTGTACGAGGTTCACTATATTCTTTTCAGAGTGATTATGCAGAAAAATGAAAGAATTCTCACAACTACAGGAGGTATTAATAAAATAGATAAAATTGTTAAAAAGATGACATCTTAAATTATCCCTTCAAAATATTTTTATTATGCTGATAATGGTGGCAACCATGAAAGTAATTTCAATAGATGAATTAAATTTAATAAATAATGTCCAACAAAATTACAATTAAGTAAATGAAAAATTTGAGACATATTATTTAGCATAAAACCACATTGTTTTGTACTATTTATTTTCAACTTCAATTCAAACTTCTAAAACCAAATTATCCTTCAAGCAACCTTGCTTAAATAGAATTTGAATTATTCCTAAAATACACTATTAATAGCCTACTAAGAGAAAATGATAATAGTAATATATTGATTTGTTTAAACAGTTTAACAACTGTCCTTTGAAATTTAAGGTTTAATAAGCCTGTCCTCCTGTGTATGTTAACAGTTCCAAGGACATGCCTCCAAATTCCATGGCCAAATTCCAAATTTCCGAGTTGATGCCTGACTTAGCCCTGCATGAGTTTTGCCAAGACAGTGTATGTGTGTAGGTCTCTGTGTTTTAACAAGAAATGCATATTTTACAAATAATTTTTATAGATACAGAAATGGGGAAGACTATCAGAAGATTCTCTTTTGATCCAATTTCAGCCCTTCCTCTCTGGTGCTTTTCCCCTGTACGATGATTCCTTGTCACTGTTCTGTCATGTCATGCACTTCCTCTTAAGCTGTTCTTGCCCTGCAGCTAGCCAACCAAGAACTGGACCCTCTGAAGCCATAAGCTAAAAATAAAATTTTCCTCCTTTACATTGTGGGTATCAGGTTGTTTTTTTTTTAAAAAAAAACTTATTGATGCAGAAAGTGACTCTGTCATCTGTGTTTTTGAAGCCCCTGAATGTACTTTTATTGCACTGTGAAATTATCACATTGCATTGTTTCTCCTTTTTGTGATTAATACAATTTTAAGTGCAGGCATTAATACTTGTTTATTCACTTAATCATCCAGTTTGGTACTTACCTAGCATATAATTATGAAATGACTGAAAAATGGGCAAAAGAAAAAACTTAATAAGCCCTTTAACTACCCTAACTTTGTACGTGTATGTACAGTTAAGTTCAAAGGGTTTAGATACACGAAATACTGTATAAGAAAACTCTGCCAATAATCCAACTAATGTTACATCACCAAAGCAATAAAGACCACTTATTAGACGAGTCAGTTTTACCTGTTCAAATTGCAGAATGTCACAGCCGGAAACTCGATCTTTTCCACGTACTGCACCTCTATCGAAGTGGTAGTGGGCCATGTGAAATAGTTCACCAAGCGACTGTAGATCTGCCACGCCAGGATCGAGACTGAGCCCAGCATCACAGCCAGCCAGATTACCTTCCGGACGTTGCTCTGCTTCCGAACAATATTGTGAACCCCATGAAAGGAGGTGGAGATGGCAAAGTCATGGTTGAACTTCCTTCGGTCAGTGGGAGACGGCAGTGGCTTCTTCAGAAGGTAAAGCTTTATCTTTTCAAAGATTCCTTAAGATTTGGCCAAAATGCAAAGAAAAATTCATGAGTTAGGAACCTTAATGCTATTTGCAGAAATCACAACTCACATATGATTAAACTAGTTATCTTTTGTGTGTGTGACTCATTAAGTCACCAAATTCACTTAGCATTGGACGATTTAGTCAAGAATTGAGAGCTATCGGCGCTGGCTGTGTAGGTCTTTTGAGAATACACTAGCACACTTCAAGAGTGCCTGTGTTAAAGCGAAGGTATCAGTAGCATTATATTTATACATTGCTACTTACAGCTTCAACTCACCTCAACAAGGCTGCTTACAGTAATTTACAATCCTTTTAAAAATACCACTCATTTGTACATTGCTCTTTCTCCCTGTAAAACCAAAGTCTTTTTGATGCCACAGATAGCATCAGACTTATTCTTCCAAAAGTTATAAGTGCAGTTAAAAACAACCAGTTGTCCAATTTATCTGTACCCTGGAGTGTGCTTATTTATGGAACATGTAACTTCCTTACTTCATAGACTTTGGTAAGCAACTCTTATTTCTTGGTTGGTGAGTTAGAGTGTTTAAATTAAAATTGCGCTATTAATCTGTTTCCTCTTTTTTATGAAACTGGGTTGAAATTTTCAACGTTACTAAAAATCAATCAGTGTTTATTGATATTCATTAGGAGGGACCCCTGAGGGTTGGACTGAAATATGTTTTCACAATATATAGCATCTTCAGAATTCTCTGAGGGTTTAATTTGTTTTCCTGCCATCAGAAGACATAAAGAAGCCTTCTCCTGAGGGAAACATGAAATGCCTCAAAGGATGGAGGGGCCTTTGGAATGGAGCATGCAGCTCCGTCCAGGGGTCACCTCTGGGAACCTGTGTGACCTCAGTGGGCTCCCTGGTCTCAGCCCTCTTTTGTCAAATGGCAGCTGTAGTATCTGCTTCATGATTTTTCTGTGCTAAGTAAAACCACACCCAGAGAGGGCTTAGCACATTGCCTAGACCATAATAAGCCTTCTTTGGCAGTGTTAGATATTTTTATTGTACTTTGTGGTGATGTAGTACATGGTTCTAAATTCAGAGATTCTGAAAACTGTATTCTCATTTAAAAGAGAGTTTTTATGGTCTCAGAAATGCTCACAATAAAGTTAATTAATTTATACTCTTTGATTCAAGGAACATTATTTTCATCAATGATACAGTGTTAATTTACTCCCAAAATGTTCCAAAGTATATTTATCATTAAATCATTAAGACATTGTTAGGCTCCAATTCATTAGCTAAGCTTTTTATTGAGTTGTGGAAAGTATAATGATATATCAAAAAAAAACTTAACATTTTCTAGGTATGTCAAGTTCACACTGTTTGGACACTTATGAATTATATTGTAATTATTTTAAAGAGACTTTACATTAAACAGAAAAGCTTGCATTAATATTGTCAACTTGAAGTTGGACTAAAGATCTAATAATGGTGCCCATCCAGTGTTCTTTTTGGTAACAAATTAGGTAAAGTATATTAGAAGTTTGGAAAAGTTCCAGGACAAAATGAGAAGCATGAAAAGTGATGTTAGTACTTATTAGCAAAATAAATCCAATTGTGATCTTTTGTGTTTTATTTAGACATTGCAGACAGACACATAGAAAGAACTCATCCTCTTCAAAACACATGTCAGTCTCTGGGCAGGTTGTACACTTCCTCTTAAAAGTGTCAAAACTACCAGCGAAGAAAGTAGCAACCAGGAACTGGCCTAGAGAGTAGAGCTGAGTGTAAATATCACCCTGAAAGATGCAAGTTTCAAGTTCACCTTCAGAAAGTCAGCTCATTTAATAAAGATCTTCTCCTTGGTATTCATGTTCACCTTACTGAAGCATCCTTACCTATTTGTTAGAAATCGCTATTTTAGGGGCATAGTGAAAAAGGACAGCAATGAATGCTCGTTCGGAAGGTGAGAATTGGTTTACTAAGTGGCCCACCAGTCCACAAAGTAAACAAATCTTCCCTTCCTGGCTGGAAAGTCATACACTACTCAGTTACGGCACGTGGCCCTGGCACCGAATGTTGATGATCATAGAAAATTGTGGGGAACATCAAGCAAGTTTTGTTATATTTTCAAAATAAAATCTGCAGGCTCATGATAAATAGAAACCCAAAAATAAGCAAAGCAAAATAAAAAAATGTATTTGAATACATAGTCATATTTATAAACTATTTTTGAGTTGCTCATACAAGTTGTTCTTTCCCTGAGTGATTAAAATTGCATGATTGGTCTCTTAAATGCATATCACTTATAACCACATGACATTGGTAATCAAATTTTCCAGTAATAGGAATAGGTATTTTAATTCCCATTTTCCTTGGTTTCCTGCATGGAAACAAGAATGGAAATTTTAACCTGTGGGAGAACCCCCTTTACCTACCTTTCTTAGCAGGTGCTTTTGGTTTCTCCAGTGGCTCCATTCCTGATTTCTCTAAGCAGGAGTCCTCAAGGTACAGCCAATTGCATCAGAAACAATATTCATTTTGTGGCCTTTATATGAAATACAGCACTTGAGGTTGTAAAGGGTGGGAGCAATTTAAATATTTGTGTTGCTATGTTTTGCCTCATAAAGCACATAATCTGCAAATCAAAAATGATGACAGAACCAGCTATGGGCATTTATGGACCAATGAGAAGTTATCACAGAATAGAAAAACAAAAGGATCTGGGATTTAGCTCAGTGACACCATGCCTGCTTTGTAAGCACAAGATCCTGGCTTCGAACCCCAATACCAAAAAAAAGAAAAGAAAAAAAAAAAAAAAAAAAAAAAAAAAAAAAAAAAAGAAAGAATAACAAAAGTATCACCAAAGAGCTAGTTACTTACTTACCTGCTTTCGAAGGGGCTAATCCTGCCAAACACCTGACCAGGCTGGTAGACACTTACAGGACTCACCTGGGGCAGTCGTTGCAGCTTCTCTCTATTTTTCTCCACATACAACTTTGAGTAAAAGTGGAGATGGGTTGAATTTTTCTGTGGACAAGGTGTTTCTATGTTCCGTGTCAAAGTTTCTTTCTTAGCTGCTGGAAACAGAAATAATAGCCAGTTAATGTGACAAAATAAAACACTAAAACAAAGCTCCTCAGGAAGAAACGATTACTACACACACAAACCTAATTTTGAAAAAGCAACCACTTTCTTCCTTGTTAACGTTTGAGAAATTAGAATTTATATTAAGGAAGGGCCGGGGATTTAGCTCGGTGGTTCCGGCACCTGCCTTGCAAACGCAAGGTCCCAAGTTTGAACTGAGGTACGCTCCACCCCCCAAATAAATAAATAAATAAAAAGGAAGAATGGAATTTATATGAAGGAATACACTGCAGAATGGATAATAAGTGTCTAAATGGTGCCACCTATTGACATGTCTCATGAATTGCGTATATTTCTACTCGAAACCTGTTAAGTCTTTCTTGGTGATAGTTCATAAGCGTCTAACCACTTCTAAGTTCCAACAGGTTACATATATTTCATGCATTTGGAAACTTGCCAGGATTTTTAGTTGAAATGACTCTTGCATGGAGGCAAACTAAGATGTTTCAAGTTCGGTGAGGGAAGAGACTTTCGTGGACTTCCTCAAACATAAAAGTAAAGACACCAGGAATGGGGCCAGTCTCATGGTATGTGAATTTCTGCACGACGGATCTCCTCTTTGTGGTTAAATTATAAATTTGGTCTCTTGCGAATTTCTTCCTCACTGGGACAAATTATTCACCACCTACAGCTTACAGGGGAGAGGTTTGCTGGGGTACAGTTACCATCCACTCTGGACCAGCTCCACAGCAGAATGGCACGGTGGCGGGGGACTGCAGAGGAAAATCTGTTCCCATTATGGTGGCCAGAGAGTGGACAGTGAAGGGAGGACCTGGGCCAGACTTCATAACTACCCCCTCAGTGACCCACTCTTCTACCAGATCCCAGCTCCTAACAGCCAAGCAGCCAGAACACCCCAGTAATCCAATTACCATTGGAAAGACTCAACTAGGAGTTGCCGAGTTACAGAGGGACGTCTCCATATGAACGATAACGTGCCACCCTTAGTCCGCAAGACTCACAGTTTATTTGTGTAAGATGCATTTAGCCCATCTCTAAGAGTTGCTAAAGTATTCACAGTTCCTGCGTTTCCGAAAGGGCCAAATCCTGAGTCTTTTCTGAGACTTAAAAAAAAATTCTCGGCACGCGCTCCTTTCGCTCCCTCCATTTCTCTCTTCTGGAGCGGGAATGTTCGCTCTGGGCCGCTGTACGTCATCAGTGCTCAAATGTCTTGTTGATTTTTACAGGGGCTCCACAGGCCTTGGGCAGTCCCTCCCCCAAGGCATTGCCAGTGTTCGCAGCTCTTAGCTTTTCTCTTGTGCTGGCTTTGCTCACTCCTTGCACCTTTCCTCAGATGTTCCATTTTCCTGGCTTCTTCAGTCTCCTGGGGTTTCCACTTTTGGCTTTACTCTCACAGCTTCATGCACTGCCCTCTCTGGGGCACACGTCTGGCCTCCCAGGCCTTCTGAAATATGGGCAGAAGCCTCCCTGACCCTAGGACTCTTCCATTCTGCGTGCACCTAGAACCAACACCCCATAGATGACAGCAAGGTCTATGGCCAGCTTAAGCAGTACCTAAGGCTCCTTGAATTATGCTTGTAGCAACCTCTGAATGCCTGGATGGCTGAGCACTGAGAACCAAATCTCTGGGAAACCAATTTCCAAGATACCCTTCCTTTCTTTTTTTTTTTTCTCATTGAGTTTATTGGTACATTTTAGGTATACAGTACAGTACAGTTACATTCATTATTGGAATCTTGCATATTTACATGACAGGTTGTGGTTCTCATGTTTTCCCCTTGTCCCTGCCCTCCCTTCACCCGCTCCTTCCTTCCCCATTTACAAACACGTTTTTCCATTCTTTCATATTTTTTCTTTTCCCTTATTACCTTTCCCCCACCCTTCCAACTTTCACTTTCCCTACACCTTTAGCTCTTTGCTTCCTATTTCACATTGTCAATTATCTCATTAGGATTTTATGTACTATTATAATTTGTTCACACCAGAGAAACTATTCGGTATTTACACATGTGTGACTTATTTATTTCGCTTAGGAGTATATCCTCAATATGTATCCATTTTCTTATGAATGAATCTAATTTCTCATTCTTTATGGCTGAGTAGTATTCCATTTTATAGAACAAAAAACCACATCTTTTTTATCCAGTTTGCAACTGATGGGCAAATGGGCTGTTTCCAAGTTTTAGCTGTTACAAACTGTGCTGCTATAAACATAGGTGCGCATATGTCACTGCGATATGATTCTTTTAGTTCTTTTGGAAAGATACCCAGCAGAGGGATGGCTGGGTCAAATGGAACCTCCAGTCCCAGCTCTTTGAGGTTAGATACCCTTTCTTGATCAGGATGCCCTGGGGCTCTCTTCTCAAAGGAAAGTCTTGCACTTTTTTACCTGGGAGCCTTCAAAGGGTAGGGCCTCGCTGATTCCTCACTTGCCTTCAAGGCATCATTCTTACTGTGCTGATGTAAAGTACTTGGCTTTTTTATGCTAATTTTTCCATCAGCTAAGCTCTCCTCCATCAATTACTTTACAGGAGCTTCCTTTCTGCAGAAACTGAAAACTTTTTAAAGTCACTTAGCTGAGCCATGTATTTTTGTTTCTCAATACAGATTTGGCTAAATGACCCCAACAGTGTTCACACCACCACATCACCATTTGGATACTCTGAAATTTCCTTTGCCAGATTAATTATGTTACCACCCTTAATCTCAGTCTCCTGAAAAACATCACTTTTTTTTTTTTTGGTCATGGGGATTGAACTGGGGTCCTTGAGTTTGTGAGGCAGCCAGTGGCCCCACTGAGCTAAATCCCTGGCCCAAAACATGTTTTTAAGCAAAACCTACAAAGTATTTTTGCCAGACCATAGCACTCATTGTCTGGAGTCCAAGTGCCAACAGAATCCTTGTTCCCACTCAGAACTCTTGAGCCTGGTCTTTGCCATCTGCTTCTCAACCTACGTTCTGGTCCTCTGAGCTCTAACTAGAATCTCCCATCAAACTGAGCTTATAGCATTTTTTTGGCTCCTCAAGCCAACATCTTCGAACCTTTTGAAACTGCTCCTGTAGACCAGTTCCAAAGGATTCTGAGCCGCATGGTCATTTAGTCACAAAAAGAGCCTGCTTGTCTGTCACTAAAATCTGTCTCAGTCGATTTCCTCATTACTGGGACAAAATGCCCAGCTCCTACCCCAGAAAGGAGGAGAGATTTACTTTTGCTCATGTTTCAGAAGTTTCAATCCATGTCTTGTGTCAGCAGGTGGCCTCTGAGGGGCTGGGGTCCCCAAGGAATTATGCCTTTTCTCAGATGTCTCTGGGTTTCTCACCTGCACTCCAGAAAGAATGGGGAAACGGGTGAGACTCGCTTAGAGCTGAAGTCCCCTGGTGGAGGATGGGGAAGTCAGAAATGAAAGTAGCTTGAAGCAAAGGTTTATTTATAATGCCTCAAATGTGGGGAGAAGCTTCCGGGGAGCAGAAAGTGCTACAAGGCAGAGAGAACTTGAGTGAGCTTCTCATGAGTCTTTTGGAAGGGTACTCACACTTACAGGGGTAAATGGGTCTCTTAAAAAATAACTGTCTCAGGGTCCAGGGATTTAGCTCAGCGGTTCAGAGGCCTACCTTGCAAGTGTAAGGACCTGAGTTCAATCCCCAGTGCCCCCCCAAAAAACAAAAAACTGTTTCACTGATTGGTGTAGTTTAGGCCAATCAGGCTCTTAGCCCTTTTATCTGGGGTAAGCATGGGTTCAGGGGTTCTAGGGGCACCCAGTGAGTGCATACAAAGATTTCACAAAAGGCTACTTCCTCAAGCACACAGTGCAAAGTAAGCATATGGCCATTTCTATGGCCATCAGCCACCTAGATCATGCCCCACATCTCCCCTGTCCATGTCTCACTCTCACTGTCCCTACCCATGCATGGCAAGTGGCAGTGTGGATGGTCTGCCGCAGAGGATGGCATTCAAAGTCTGTCTTTGTCACACTCTCACCCCTGAGCCATATTCAGAGCTACACAACTCAAAGGAGAAGAGCTTTGCTTGGACTCAGAGCTGCAGCCCAGGGTCAGCAGGGGCCAGCGCAGGACAGCAGGGTGGAGGGGCACAGCTGAGGAAAAGATGCTCGAGGCACAGCGGCTGGGAACCCGAGAGCAAAGGAGAGGCTGGGCTGGGAGACAAACCCTTCCAGGCCATGCCTGCAGTCACCTGCCTCTCTGCTCAGGCCCCACCTCCTAACAGCAAGTCCCCTAGGACCCTCCATAAATCTATCTGTGACTCCGATAAGATAAAAAAAGTGGTGCTGATGGAGTTTGGTTCCCCCGTGGGCTGCGGGTGTTGGTTGTTGTTTTTGTTATGATATTTTTTGTAGAACATTAAAAGGAAAAATTAGCTCATGTAATATATGTATTTAAAGCAAAAGGAAAAAAAAAATCAAGATTCTGAGTTGAGAGCCCACAGTGCAGAAAGTGACCTTAAGATATTTCCATCCAAGTGTTATTGTGTTATCGTCTTCCCCACCTTTACTTGCTTCGTAGATGGGGAAGCTGGGCAATGAAGGGAGGTGAAATGTGCTCACAGAGAGCATTTTGCCTGTTTTGTTAGCAGATCTGTGTGACTGCATAGGAAAGAGCATATCAGAAGGGAAGTGATCGTGAAATACTGTTGAATGGCTAAAAATTCATTCCAGCCCAGTACTGTTTTCATGGCAGACACTATTATTGTTGCAAGAATCCAAGAGACTGGAGAGACCCACAGACCAAAACAGGAGGATTTTACTTTAGGTTTAAGGAGTTTATCAATGACTCAGCAGACTTCTGTCAAAGGAAGAGCTCTGCACAAAGAGAAGTTTCAGTTTTTATACATTTTATTGAAGGGGGTGGTCCTTCTAGTGTTGTCGAAAGTGGGTTATTGGAACAGGACAAGGGCAGACAGTTTTGTAAGTTTGCCTTGAAAGAAGACAGTGTTTTAGGAATCCTATGAGAACCGGGTGTCATAGATTGGTGTGCAGGACACATTTGTCATGATATCTGCACCAGACAAGGAGTTACAGCTACAAGGGTGTGGGGAAACTGCCCAAAGCTGGGAAGGACTTGTTTTCCTCTAAGTCCTACTTCATTGTAATCGAAAGAAGTAAAATTAATTACTTCAGATTTTCTTTAAAAGTGCAAGCTTAAAGTTATAAAAATTAGCTTATGTTGGAGCTGCACATCTGGATTAGCAGACTGCCATCTCCGAGGTGCCTCCCAAAAGCAAGCAGTGGGTGCGCTCACCAAAGGAAGGGCTGGACTCTGGAGCCTCAGCTCAAAGACCGGAGCATCCTTCGAATAACAGCCAACTTTAGAGCTATGCGTAGCAACGCGGCCGGGTCTCTGGAACACAGAGGGGAAATCCAGGCACAAAGGCCTAATGCTGGAGCTAGAAGAACCATACCACGAGAGCATGGGATGTCTCAGCTCTGCTGAGAAGGGAAGATCAACAGACATGGAAGGACCAGGAGACGGAAGGGCCTTCCAGCCAGCCTCACACTCAAGGCCCCGTTTGTCCTGCTCTTGTTTCCTTCCTGTCACCTCAGAGAGGAGCTTGCAGTAGATTCTCTCCAAAGTCAACTCGCCAAAACAGAACAAAGCACCTCCGGTCCCTGAGCTTTAGTTCGTGAAAATGGTATCAGAGGGAGAAAAATATCTGTCACCTCACCAGACGGAAGTTGCCATGCACCGCTGCACCTACCTCATTCCAAGAGAGGCATTCACTGTCCGCTGTGCTGCGAGCCCAGGGGCTTTTATTGTCCCCTGGAGGCTCCTACTCTCCTTCCGCCTGTAGAAAAAGGGTTACGTGGGATTTAAGTTATGTTGGGGCCGGTGGATAATCATACTTCTGTGACTTTTCCCTTTTCTACATGTTAATTATTCGTGTCTTAAAAGATCACCCGTGAATATCCATATACTCTTTACCGCAGTTCATTGATTTTTAATACTTTCAACATTTGCCTTCTCTTTATTCCCTAAACGCATAATCGTCTTGTCTCTGAGAAACAAGGACACCTTCTCGAGAAAACACAATATTCACTGCAATCTCTTCCAGCTAAAACCTTTACTTCACATGCAGCCCATCTTCAAATTCTCCAAATTAGCTCCGCGGTATTTAATTTCACCAATTCAGGATTAAATTAATGATTGTTAATTGCCTTCAGTTGTCACCAGGATTTAGTCTTCTTTAATCCAGAAGCGATCTGTACATAGTGATCTTCGTTTTCTGTTTCCTCATTTCATTGCTGTTTTCAAAGAACGGATGTCGGACGCTTTGCAGGACGCCTCTCGGCTCAGCGATGCCCGTTCCTCCCTCATGACGACGTCAGGTCAGGCACTTGTGACGGGAGAGGAAGGTGATGTGGGCTCCCTGTGAGCGCGGGGTCTCCATGGTGACCCTGAATTCCGTCTCGGTTCCTCTCTCGGATTTCCTCATCCTGAATACACCTTTTACTTCTTAGTGAATACAGAGTATGTGGAGGCAAAGACCTGAGATAAGAGTATCCTGCTCCCAAATATTATTTTACAGTTTAAAATAGCTTAATAACGTTCTCAGAAGTAAATGACATAAATTAATGTAAGTAGAGTTCAATAATACATATGTAAAAATGTTTATCCAAACATTTTTTGCTTTTTCTTGGACATATTATTCATAATCTAGCTAGTCCTTAGGATTTTAATTTGTGCTGCTGTTTCTATTTTTAACTATTTTCGTACATGTTTGCAGTACATAATGAAGTAATTACATTCACTGTCCAAAACTGGTACATGTACATCACACATTTCAATTCTTTTTTTTCTTTCCCTCTATCCCTCTTTTACTTTTTGAGCATCATATTTATTTATTTATAAGAGTTTATAAGGTTAAGTACTATATATACAAATTAAAAACCAGACTGATAGGCCAGAGTGCATATAAAACCTTGTAAAGCAATGGTACTAAGCCAAGGTACACTGGTCCTAGTCTTTCATGCCATGATTCTAGCATATCAATCTTATCCAAATAAGTACTTACTATGTAGTTCACAAAGTAATTTTGAGTTTCTGTCATTCTTTTATACCTTCTGTTCTTCCTTTTTCCTTTTAAAAGGGTTTAAAAAGTGTCTATACAATTCTTTTGCCCACTTTTTTAGTGGGTTGTTTGTTTTGGAGAGAGTTATTTTTTGAGTTCTTTACATATGAAAGATAGTAGTCCCCTAGCAGAAGAGTAACTAGCAAGAATTCTGCCATCAAGGGGGTTATCTCTTTACTCTGTTAATCATTTACTTTGTCATGGAGAAGATTATTAATTTGATGTGGTCTCATTTGTTAATTCTTGATGTTGTTTTCTGTCCTTTTGGACTGGAATTCAGGAAGTGTCTGCCTGTGTTTTCCTTCCAGCAGTGTTATGCTTCTGGTTCATATCTAGGTCTTTAGTCCATTTCAATTTGATTTTCATACAGGATAAAAAATAGGGATCTAGTTTTTCTTTTCTTTGTAAAAAATTGTAATTAAGTTTACTCCTACAATTTAAATATACATGATGATCGCATTCATTGCATGGAAATTGTACCTGATATATCTTAACTCTTATTTTTTCCAAACCATTCCCCTCTCCTCCTTTCAGCCCTTCTTCCTCTCTTCATTTACAAAAGCTAAGTTTTTATTTTTTCTTTTACTTCTCATTTTTCCCTGTTTTCCTTTTTTCCTTTCCTCCTCCCTAGTGCCTCTTCCCATTTGAACTTATTCTTCCTATTTTACATTTTCTATTATACACTTTTGTCCTTTTTTAAACCTTCAGTTTCTCAGACCAGAGAAACAATCTGATATTTATGCGTTGTCTGAGTTATTTCCTTTAAGAGCATGTGCATCCATTTAGCTATACATGCTTCAAGTTCATCTTTATGGCTGACTAATACCCACATCTTAATCCATTCATCAGTTGTTGGGCATTTGAATGTTTCCAAGTTTTAGCTATTTCAAACTGTGCTGCTGTGAAGAAGGGTGTGCGTATATCATTGTGGCATGATGCTTTTAATTCTTTTCAAAAGATAACGAGAAGGGGGAGAGCTGGGTCTAATGTTCGACCTCTAGTTTTCTGAGGAATCTCCACACTGATTTCCACAGTGGTTGTACCAGTCTGTACTCCCACCAATAGTGGAGAAGGGCTCATTTTCCCCAGCATCATTTATTCTAAAAGCTCTTTTCTCCAGCATAGGTTTTGGGCCTTTTATCAAAGATCATAAATAAATTTTAAATAAGGAGAAATGTCAGGAATCCAGGATCCAAGCTTTGGAAGACTTTGGAGGTTGGAGACTGGGAAGGGGATCGGTGGGGTGGGGTGTTCCCGTGGTTGAAAGTGACTGGGGTGCATTTCACAGATGCACCAACTTTCCAAGCAAACACCACCATCCTATAATATAATGAGGAGGAGGCAATAGTAAGAAAAGATTAAAAAGAGTTCATGGACTCATGGGTTGTTTTGTAACCTTATGTACTATAACCTGTTCTGGTGGTTACTGGGCACATTTCCTGGAAGGACTCATTAAAGTAAGGTTGCTGTGCTCAATGATCCCTCATGTCCCACATTAGCTCCTAAAAGGAAGCAATTAAAATATGCTGAAGATGAAAAACATCGACATTTTCAGGATGTAAACTTATAATACCTTGGATTCTAATAGCCAATGTAAAGCTCCAACATGCAGAGGTGTAGAAAAAGCTATGAGGGCTCATGATCATTTTAGCTCTTAATTATTTGAGTGGTTATGGAGAGAAAGCTAAGGTAACAATGTAGATGTAACAACTTCTGGATGTTCTTTGTAAAACACTAACAATTATATATGAGAAATAATACCTTTCTGTCAGCTGTGCTAGAAACTACATTTCTCAACTTCTTGGATCAGAAAAGTAGTGATTCTCTTCTTTTCTTTTTCTCTATTTCATTTTGTTAAATGATTATGTCTCACAAGATGTTTCACTTATTATTCAATCAGAGTTTTTCTGTTTTTTATTTATATATACTGATTGAACAAAATACTCATCCCTAGATCTTTACATATAGGAAGCAAATCTTCTTATATTGTACACGAGTACTGTTCAAAGGAGACATTATAGAAGTGTGATATCATTATTAACAAATACTTGTTAAAAGTGCCAAGGACTTATACTATTTGCACACTCAAAAAGCCCATGCCCAGCCACTGTGCTTAATTCTTGCAAACAAGAAGCTTGTAGGAATCTGCTGAGGCGTCCTCATGAGTGCTCTCTGCCACCATTTGCTATTGGCTCAGTCTGTGGGAGGCTTTTGTTTGTCACTTAGCTACAGCCAAGCCACGAGGAAGGCAGTTCCTGTCTAAACACCTCCACGGAGCATCACCTAGAGTGATGAAAACCCTCCTGCCATTGGTCCAGGCAGGGGGAAGGGCTCCACTAATGTTTAACCTGTAGGCCCAGGAGGCGGCCCGATGATGTGTCCACGCAGTGCATTACACTGCAAGTCAAGGTTACCTAGAAAGGGTTTCTCCAAATATTCTCCCTGCAATTTTATGTTCCTGTCTGTTTTCTGAAATTTGATCTTTTATTTCTGTGCAACAGAACATTTGAGAGAAGTTCACCTGCTTTCCAATTTAGGACAAAAATATTGATTTGTTGTCCTTTCAGTACCTTTAGAGACTGCTGTAATGGAGGGTGAGGAGCAGTGTGTTTAGCACCTCTTTTGAAAAACAAAGCAAAATGAATAAAAAAAAACCTACCCAAAGATGGCAAAATAAAATTGTAGAATATTAAGAAGTCACAAATCATGGGTCATTATGTACTATGAGTGAGTTTAACATTTTTCTCACATGAACTTTATGCATCGCAGTGGAATAAGTAGCATCTTCCCAAATCTGTCTTCCCAGCACCTCAAAGTGTGACCTTACGTGGAAATAAGATCTTTGTAGATATAATTAGGTAAGGCTTTCAAGATGAAATCATCATGGACTTACGGTGGGTTCTGAATCCAATGACCGGTGTCCTTATGAAGGAGACTGAAAAAGAGAAGGCGATATGGACACAGAGACATATGGAAAAGGAGGTTGTGTGCGATGGAGGCGATACTGGGATTAGTGCTGCCTCGTGTCTGTGCTAAAGACAGAAGGAGCCGCAAGAAGCCAGAGGGCGCTTTAGGCAGGAAGGCTCCTTCTCAGGGTCTTTGAAGGGAGTGTGGCCCCAGGTACCACTTCGTTTTGAATTCCTGGACACCTTGAAGTTGGACTTCTGGCCACCAGTGTTGTAGCTGTGTATTACAACAGCCTGAGGACAGAAATGAGCATCCTATCAAAGAAGTCAGATAACTCTTTTATTCAGGAGTCATAAGAAGTTTGAACTTTGGTACCTGCAAGAGTTTTAACCTTGTTCTGCTATGGCTTACATTCCTATGTATTCAACAGAGCCTCGTGCAGCTGTGTGGCAGAGCAAAAGCGACAGTCACAGTCGGGTGAATGAATGCTCGGATGCAGAAGCCAAGATACGTGAGGTCATTGCAGTGTGACGACTAGAAATAGTTCAGGAGCACAGTGTCACAGGAAAGCCACAATCCCGGCAGTGTTTTCAGTGCACCAAGAGCAACGTGAAAGGCTTGTGCTCTGGGTTTGGGTTTAGTGTTCCATTCCTAGGAATAAGTCCCGTCATTTCACAAGCAGGGACGCAGATGGTTCTGGGTCCGGCTCTGCGGGACGGATTGGTTCGGATCCATTTTGCCGGGGCTTCTGTCTGCGGAAGGTCACGGTAAGCTTAATGAATGAAGAAGTCGCCTATGGTGTTAGAAGATGAGGCCTTCTGCGGAAGAAGGAGTAGATGTTAGGAAGCAGTCCCCATGGCTGGGCGCGGTGAGGGCCGTCGGTGCGAGCACGCTCGCCAAAGTGGGACTGGAGCAGTGTGGAGTTGCCTGAGGGGCGGACAACACTCCAGGTAAATCCAGGTAAACTGTGTAGCTAGAGCCCGAGACACAGGAGCTGTGAAGAGCAGCGAAGAGAGGGCAGCGAGGGAGAGAAAGGACAGGTCAGAAAGGCCGTAGGAAGCTAGGCATTGCTGGGCTTCTAGCACATTTTAAGGATTCGTCTTCAAATACAACGGAGAGTCCTTGCAGGTCAGTGTGAAGGAGTGATGTGACCAGCCTACATCGATCCCTAGCTGCAGTGTTGAGGGGAGAGGACGTGACAGTCTAGGTCTAAAGGTGGCTGCATTATGGGGAGAGTGCAGGAAATCAGTGGACCGGGGTTTGCTGGTAGGTTAGGTAAGGGTGGTGAGAAGCTGTGAGCGACAAAAGGGTCAAAATTCTCAGCACCCACAGTTCTTTGATGTACACTGCTGCCCAGTAGGAGCTGGCCATTCATAAAGCATGCACGAATGAGGACTAGAAGAGCGGGAGATGCAAGTAAAGAAAAAACCAGCCCTTCCTCCACAGGGCTAAAGCTATGCCCTTCTCAAGAAGGTAAAAACACACTGATACCCTACACTCATGGAAACCTAAGACCTACGTCTTACACATTTGCACCTTGGATGCACAACTTTAGTCATAGCATAGGTGTTCCCAATGGACTAGCGTTTCCTGGGAGGCGCCCTTCTAAGACGCATGCACTTCCGGTTCAGACCCTCCCAACACCCACTTCTCCTTATGAAAACCCAGTCTCTCACCTTGACGGTGGGGGCCAATCTTAGGGGTCTGCTTGATTGTCCGGCGAGCTGCCAAGGAGATGAAAGAACGGCTGGTGTGCCTGGGAGGGCCGTACAGATGTGGCCCCTTCTCATCGTTTTGACCCTGGATCTCAAACACTACTGGTAACGCACTGATCATGTTCAATATGCCCATTAATGGTGTTTTTGATACAGATATAATAAACATTTTTAAAGTTGCATATATTTGTTATTTTAATGGGGGCTGCTAAGGATGGGACCCAGAGACATCTGCATGATAGGAAGGCACTCTACCACTGGGTCTACTCCTGCCCCTATTTTGATAAAATATTTTGGAATCACATTTTAAATTATTCTCCAGAGATGGTGGAATTTTCTGAAACCTCTGCTGTAGCTTAAATACCTAGAAACAAACAAACAAAAGCATTAGTATGTATAAAACACTTTAATTTGCTTTTTCTTCAGCTTTAATTGAGTTTATTGGTACATTTTAGGGATACAGTACAGTTACATTCATTGTTGGGATCTTGTACCTCTACATGACAAGTGTTGATTCTCATTTTTCCCCTTACCCTTGCCCTCCCTTCACCTCCTCCTTGTTTAATTTGTTATTGTGCACCAGAGAGGAATCTTTTGGTGCCCTACTGATATTTTATCCTATTAACATTAGATGCAGGCTGGGGGTTTGGCTCAGTGGTGCCACTGCCTGCCTTGCAAGTGCAAGGTCCCAAGTTTGATACCCAGTACCAAAAAACAACAACAACAACAACAAAAAAACCAGATTAACATTAGATTTCTCACCATTTAAGGCTTTAGATATGCTCAAATCTTGAAGTAAATTTGGAGCTACTGGAGCTATTTTTCCACACGTAACCTGACTTCCTGAAGACAGGAGTAAGCTTTTCGCTTGTTAAATTTCTGTTTCTTATGGATTTTTTCATGTAATGAAAGCAAATTAAAATCAAAGTCAAAAGAACAGATCATTACTGTAACCATTCATTTCTGCAGTGAATAAGGAAATGAAAGGTATTCCCAGATGTGCAGCAATGAAAAACATGGGATTGCGTGGTTGATGGAAAGGACAATGAGCACTGTGTTTTAGTAGCAGGGGACTGCAGGGAAGCCAGTGTTGGAGACAGAAACGACCTCAGAGAAGCCTAACAGTGGCTCTCTGCCAGCTTCCATGGTGCGGCGTTGGAAGTCAAAGAAAAATGTAGCCAGCAGTGTTGAACCATGACCCCATGCAGCGGTCTCAGCACAGTTCTCTTCTCCACTTTATTCAGTCTTCTGACTTCATGTGGACAGATTATTTCATGAACACCGGCCAGTGGCGTGGGAGTGAACAGCTGAATCTTGGACTCAGGAAAATTTGCATCGCACAGAGGAGAGTAATTACAGCTGAGCTTTTACCGAGAACAGACTCAGCAAAGTTGAAGATCTATTGGCACTCCTGGGTACAAAGACTTAAGCACAAGCATGTTATAGGTGCTAGAAGCTTCCTAACTTTAAAACCAAGTCCACTGACTTGCTTCATGGGCTTCCATGCTGGCTCCTTCCCAGGCTTCCAAATATTATGAGTGTGCTAGTTGTCTTCCCCTTAGTAAGTATTTGAATTCATCTCTAGCTCTGGCTGAGCACAGGGCGACGCAAACAGGAGGTTCGACTTTGTCGATAAATGTCTGTTCTTTTCATATTTACCTGACCAGTGTGGAGTTCACAAGTTTCAAAGAGAAGTGCTTGTCTGGAGGAGATGCAGCCTCATGAACAAGTCAGGCACAGCGCCAAATGACAATAATCCAGTGTGATGAGTGCGAAGAGTTTGAATAAGAACGCAGTTTAGCATTTCACCAGGAGAAAGAAATTGCTCTTCCTGGAGATGTCTTGGACAGCATCCCAGGGGAAAGCTGTTTGAAATGCATTGTGAAGACTGAATAAGTGTTCAGGAGTTGGAGCCACAGGGCAGCCACTCTAAGCACAGAGAATTCAGAAGAGTCCAGGTCTTGGCCCTCAGGAGCTGGATTGGCTGTGAGGTGCTTGTGTGGGAAGTGGGGTAAAATGAAATCTGAAAATTCAACAGCCTGCAGGAAGAGTACAGAGTCTTGGGTTCTCTCTTAATAAAATGTGTGGGAATTATGCCCATATTGCTCCCACCTAAAGACAGAAGTGTAGCACAAGACTTCGCTCTTCCTTTTTATAGAACTGACATTGCTACTTGAACATTTTGCAAATTTTCCTGACAGCTGTTGCCTTTAATCTTATTTTGAATGTTTAATATCTAGTATGACTTTAATAGCAAGAAAAACATGTACATTATAAATTTGCTGCTAGTTAAACATTCTGACCTATCAGCATCAGTTTCATTTGGTTCAAATGTGTATTGTGTCAACAATACCTAATCTTTTCATCATATTGTATTATGTAGTTTGTGGGTGATGAATGTGCATAATAGGGTTTTTTGAGGGGGGTACTGGGGATCAAACTCTGAGCCTTTCACTTGCAAGACAGGTGGCAAAACCACTGAACTAAATCCCTGGCCCTCCTTAGCACTTTTAAAAAATTATGTAATATGATGGCAAGTAAAAATCTTTTTAAAAATCAAAGTACTTTTATACAGTAGATACCACACAAATTTAAGAATTTCTCATTTGCAAAGAGTAATTTGTTTTTAAAAACATTCTACTAAATAAGTACAACTTATATTTCAAATCTTGATAGAATTTTTAAGAAGGCTCATTTTTAATGAATAATGAGGTCAAATAGAATTTATTTGTAATAGTCTCTTTACAAACACCACTTTTCCAGATCGGGGTGAGAGAGCCCTGGTTTCTTGCTTCTTGGTAGTACATTTGCTGTTAGAGGTCTGTCATTCCCTTATCTGTGACACTGCTTAGGTTCTTCGTGTCTACACACATTTTTCAAGAACTGTAATGAAACGGCCTTGCATTGATTTGAGCAGGTGGACCCCTGTTCCCCAGAAGTCAGAGTCTGAATATTTTCTTTCCTGCTTTTCCTTGAGCCTGCCATTGTTACCATTCCACAGCCATTCGATGTTGATGATTGATCCTTGGATTTATCAAGGAAGTATTGGAAAAAGCTCATTCTTGTGACTAAGGTGGGAAAGAAATGAAACATGAAAAACTACTAACTGTTGGTGACTCCTACATCAATTAGACATTATTGAATTACTGCTGTGCTGATAAAGACTTTTTGCTGTGAAAGGACAAGTTTTTGGGAAAAAAGTGGGTTGATTCCTACAAGTGTTAGACATTGTGAGGGGAGGGATGAGTACATCTTCCTCTGGCCTTCTCCCAAGCACACCTGCGATCAGGACTGGAGGGGAAGATATATGTAGGAAATATTCCCAGGAAGAAACACAAAAGGAGTGCAGACATCGGGGCAGGGAGAGCCAAGGAGGAGACAAACTCTCAAAGCTAACAACACAAGTCGCTGGGGGCTCTCCTCAGGTCTCTGAAGAAGGAAGGGCTCAGGTTTCTTTCAGCATTGTCTCCTGAGAAGTAGGACACTGGGACATGTCTTTAAGCATGATAATTCCCACCTTGGCTGGGTGATCTGCTTGCTGCCGCAGATTATGTCTCCTGGGTAAGAAAGGGGGACAATTTGTGTGGAGTGGCTGTGGCATTTCAGCAGATCTGAGCTTCCAGGCTTAGGTGAGAAGATGTAGCACACACACATCCAGTCATGGTGCTGCACGCCCGCCATCCCAGCCCGACAGCCAGAGGCAAGTCTCTGTTTGAGGCCAGCTGGGGCTACACAGTGAGACCCTGTCTTTAAAACAACTAAGATATTCAATAGACTACATGAGTTGCTTTACGGAAACAAACTCTGTGAGTGCTGAGAGTAACCTGTGCAAATTTCTGTTCACTTTCTACGTTTAGCCCAGCACGAGTCTTTACTCGTTCTTTTCCTTGCTCTGCTCTCACAGGCTGGCTTCTTCTTCTAAAACATTACCAGGGTCATCTGTAAACACCCAAAGGAAATGTCCCTGGCGCAGGCGTGGTTCTGATGATTTCATTGTTCCCTTACAATGCAGGGTTTGAAGTTCTTTATCCTACATTGTTTAATGTTATAACTTACTAGGCAGAAACAAAGTGAGGATTTTACTGTGGGTCAGGACTCGAAATCAACTTCAACAACCTCATTTCTTCTTGCAGAAGAAGTTGATATGCCCAGAAGCTAAATCAGTTTTCCCCGTCCACACCATCAGTGGCAGGGCTGAGACCAGAAATATGGCTTCTGACTGCGAATGGCTTGGGTCCAGTCCACGCAGCCTGTCACCGTGGGTGGGGGAGACGCACAGTGCCTCTCCATGGGCAGAGGTGGAAGGGGAGAGCGTGGTGGATCAGTAGCCCTCAGAGCAATTTTGGAAGTTGAACCAAAAGCTAATGTTTCTGGATGAGGTACTTTATCACCGGCCTTGTTTACAGTTGTGAGCTCGTGGCTGTAGTGCTTGAGCTGTCGGTGGTGTGGTGCCATGCAGCTGATGCCTACATGGTGTTTCTGATGTGCACAGGTAAGCAGGGGCCGGGAGCCCTGTCCACCAGAATTCCAGCACAGCAATGGGAGCTCACCTGCTGCTTGGTGCTGGCGGGGAGTAGGAGGAGGACGCTGATGGTGGGATGGCAGTGGCTTTCAGCATGGGCCACCTCTGCCTTACAGTGAATTTCTTCCACAGGGATATTTGAGTTCAGTGTTGGAGTTAGGACTTGTGAGAATATTCGAATCTGAGAAAGTACACGCTCTCGTAGAAGCTTGTCTTCTCGACATGTAGCAGGATGCCAGAATGTCAAGCGTTCGCATACTGAGATGTAGTTTTAGCGTGGCTTCTATTGATCGGCTTGCATGTCTGTGTAAGTGAAAGAAGAACTTGGCAGGTTGGGCGACTCCGTTTGGCAGGGCACTCACTCTTCCAGCAAACAAATTGCACCTAACAAAAATCCACTTTGGAATCCACACAGGGGTTCAGCTCTGTGCCAGGTGAAAGGAGAAGCCTGTTGAGAGCACAAGAAGGGTGCCGATTGGCAGGCACAGCCTGCAAGGCACATAAAGGACCGCCGTGAGGCAGCTGGGGCGGCCAGCAGCACCTGCCAGTGTCACCTCCGCATGTTCACAACGCTGTGGCCATGAGTGGATGTCCATTTCTAGAAAGCAACTCTGGGTGAGTACTTTTGTTGTAAGTGGAGTTGGGCTTTTAAAAGTTCCAAGTAGAAACAGTCTTACTTCTGATTGTAGAGGGCACTGAAAACTCTGCCTTCTTTCCTTGCTCCTTAACAGCCCAAACAGAATTGCTGACAGGATTTGAATCATTCGTATTATTTGGTAACTGTGTCTTTTCAAGTTCTGTCTTTTCATTTATTAAAACTGTAGATATGCTTGTAAAAATCTGTCTGTAGAAGACAGCAGAGAAGATGAATCACAAACCGGTGTGAACAAAGCCAGCAGAGGAGGACTCGTCTACGGGAAGTACCTGCACGTAAGCGACACAGCCCGCACTAGAACTCCCTCCCTCCCCTCCAGTCAGAAGTTCTCGGTCCTATCTCTATGCATCCCGGTTTCTTCTACTTTTATCAGAATAACTCTGGAGACTTGTAGGTGAAAAGTGACCTCACTGGTAGAAGTACAGTAATAGCAGATGAAGCGGGGCAGGATGAAAAAAGAATTGAAATGTCTTCCATATACGGACCAACTCCCCATGATGAGTGTAAGCATTTTGCACTGCAAACTCGCACTGAGAAAAATCAAAATTAAGCAAAAGCAGAGAATCTGGAGTGGGGGCAGAACGGTGCAGATAAAAGGCAGACATTACACAACGTGGATAAATAAGACACGGCCAACAACCCCCAGCCTAGGTCACTGCCAATGCATCTCAGAAAATGTTCTGTTTTAAATCTCTGACCATAAGGTTGAAAGGATATGTGACTTTTTAGATAAAAGTCACCAATAGATGAATTATGTGGAGGTTACTTTGGGCTTAGTTTATTTTTCTGGTTGTTGTTGTTGTTGTTGTTTGGTACTGGGGATCGAACTTGGGACCTTGCGCTTGTGAGGCAGGCGGTGGCATCACTGAGCTACAGCCCCGGCCTGGGCTAAATTTGTTCTTAAGTGTGTTTGCCTCCTTTTTATTTGTAAAGAAACAAAATGGTTATTGCCTTTGATGCATCCATGGACAGGTTTCTAAGGATGAACTGAGGAGGAATGTTAAGATCTCATTAGAACAGGCTCTGAATAGGAACAAATGGATGTAGGAGGACAGAACTACAGACAGTTTAGGCAAGCTGCCATCATCATTCTCATTTCATGAAATTGTAAGGAAATGACATTTCAGAGTGTCGCAGGACTTGTGACAGGATCCTCCCTTACAATGTTTTTTTTTTCTGAGAAAAATAAAAAAATCATAAATTTAACTTACTCTTTATGATGAGAGTCATTCACTGTATAAAATAAAATAGAAAGGTTTCTGGAAATTTGGAGTGTTGGGGAACATTTTCCAGGATTTTATTCTTTTATTAAAGTTGACTGAAACACTCGAGCTTTGCAATGTTGAAATCAGTCTATTTGTCACTTAAAGCTGGAAAAGATTTTGAGTGCACAAGAACTCCAAAGTGAAGTAAAAGGAAATAAAATCCACGATGAGCATCTTTTTATCATCACTCATCAAGGTAAGTTGCACAGGGTCAGAGAGCCACCAGTCCCCGGGAACCTGCCTTCCAGAGGAGGCCACCCTGTCCTCACTCATCTTTCATCTGGTGGGAGAGCCAGGGATTGCCTTTGTTAGAAAGGCTTGAGAATATTTTGTTGTCAGGTGTAGTCTCTTAGGAAATCTCCTGGGCTTTTGTAATTGGAAGTCATCTGTATGTTCCTTTGCTGCTAGTCGTGTCCAGCTTTACCCTTCACTCCATCTCTTGGAATTTCCCTAAGAGTCTGCAAGCATAGATGATACTATTTCTCAACTTGGAAAGTTAGAAAACGACTTTCACGAGAGGCATGATTCAAGTTTATTGAAGTTGTATGCAATTTCATTAAAAGTCTAGTACTGGGAAAAAAGCTTTTCTAAAATGTGTTTTGGCCAAATTTTCTATTTCTGGGGAGTGTTTTTAGCTTAAGAGAGCAAGGCCTGTCGTGCTACTGTAAGTTTAAGATACAGAATCGCTAGCCCCCAGGTGCAGGTGGTTCGCTCTGAACCGGTGTACAGATGAGTCCACTCCAGGCAGCAAAGAGGGACTGCGCTGCAGTCAACTCCGCTCAGATGGACCAACTGAGTCGATCACGCGTCTGCCTCACGCCGGCTCTGCCACTTCTGCTTGGCGTCAGCTTGATCAGTAGGGTTTGCTGAGATTGTTCAGTGCAATAATAGTGAACATACAGCACACACGTAATGTGCCTGACCCATCAATGCATTCAACAGATGGAGCCTCTTCTGACTTTAACACGAATGCTTACTTGTCAAGTGGATGAGTCTAGACTTCCTTTATGAGTTTTAAAGTTCCAATTTTATTTATTTTGGAATACGTTAAATGTGTCTTTCATGTAACTATGGTCAGAGCTCCTGTAACTTTCACTGACAAATGTTTTCTGATTACAGCTTATGAACTCTGGTTTAAGCAAATTCTCTGGGAACTAGATTCTGTTCGAGAGATCTTTCAGAATGGTCATGTAAGTTATCTTGCCATAGAATTCTTTTTACATATGTTTGGAAGCTCAAGAAAATATTAATTTGAAAAATATAACACCAAATATTAAAATGACTAATTATTTGAAAAAAACCCACATTCTTTTTTTTTTTTTTGAGACAAGTCTCCTTTGAGTTCAGGCAAACTTGAACTCACTATGTAGCCCAGGCTCGTCTCCAACTCCAAGACAATCCTCCTGTCTCAGCCTCCAGAGTGCTATGATTATGGGTGTGAACCACTATGCCTTGTTTAAAAATCAAAACAAAACCAAACCATAAAAAAAACCCCACTTTCTAGGTAGATAGCTTCATGATATTTTCTCAGTTCCATTGATTTAAAGTTTTTCTTTTCAAATATCATTTTCGAGTCCTTTGTGTAGAACTCAAAATATTTTTCTTTGAAACAAACAATGCTATGAATCGGAGTAGAGTGTGAAGCTACCTGGCACCCTTTAATTAATGGGCAACAGAATGCTATTTTTAATGCATGTGACTTCTACAAAGAGAGGAGCCATAATAAAGTGAGAAAGGAAGAGGAGGAGGAAGAAGGAAAAAGTCGAAATAAGAGGAAGAGGGAAGTAGGAAGGGAAGGACACAGGACCCAGGAGAGGCGTGGCCTCAGGTGGCTGTGCAGGTCCCACGGGCACTGGGCCAGGCCCCAGCTTGCCTCCTCTTCCAGGGCCCTGGAGACAGCCTGGAGCTCTGTCCTTTGTTCCTGGCTCCAAGGATGCTGGTGTGAAGCCACACGGACCCCAGCCCTCTCTCTTCCTGTGGACAGAAGCCCTTGCTGCCCCTGGCTGCTGTGGCTGTCAGAGAAAAGCAGATTTTCCCTAGCTTGGTCTCACCTGTCTGTGTCTCATCCTTAACCTCAGGTCCGGGATGAGCGGAACATGCTCAAGGTGGTGGCGCGCATGCAGCGGGTGGGGGTCATCCTCAAACTCCTGGTGCAGCAGTTTTCTGTCCTGGAAACCATGACGGCCTTGGACTTCAACGACTTCAGGTACACAGCGTGGTGTTAGAGCTAGGCCCTGGCAGCGGCAGTCTGCTCCACTGACACTGCTTCTGGACCCAGGCTAAGGGCTCCCCACCCACCCCAGCACCGGGTACTGAGCCCAGGGCCTTCATGGTGAGCTGTATTGCAGCTCTGGTCCTATTTTGTATTTTTGAGACAAGACCTCAGTAAGTCATTAAATTGCCCAGGCTGAGCTCAAACTTGTGATCCTATTGCTTCGGGCTTCCAGGTGTGCCCTACCGTGCCCTGCTAATTTGGGGTCTTCAGCCACAAAACATTTGAGAAGTTATCAAAAAACACATTATCATTTCTACAAAGAAAAATAATGCGGCCAAATAGTTTTTGTTCATTACTGTACACCCTGCTTTTCTCCAAAATGGATTTTACCCAAAAATGTGCCTAAATAGCAATGGCATACGTAGTTACTTAAAAATTAAAACAAAACAAAAGAAACAGAAGTGACACCTAAAGAAGTGTGCTGACCAAAAGTGTCAGTGCAGCTGATATCTGGAGCCATTGATTTTAATTTTAAATTACCAAGCCATCCAGGACACACACACTCTTTTTAAAAAGCATACTCTTCTTAACAAAAAGACAGAAGAAACTTTTTGAAGAAAGTAACACAGAGTGTATGACATGGTGTAACAGGCAATGTCCCAACATGTTAGACGACAAAAAGAAATATAGTTGAATTTTTGTGGTGGATTATAAAATTAATGTTTCAGCATCAGTTAGATGAAAGACATTACACAAATCTAAGAGTGTCGAGGGAATCCTGTTTTTTTTTTAATTGGCTTTTTTATACGAGGCAGCATCTCATTCACTGTACTTGTGTCATTTCATGGATGCTCACAATAATTTCAGACAGTAAGATGAAAGAAAGTATGCAAGAATGACCTTTGCGGCAGGGATTAAATACTTTGTGAACAATCTTTTAGCACTGTGAAGCTCTGTGTCTTTATCTTAAGAAAAAACCTAGCATATGAACACTTGCATATATACAATGGTACACACCACATGTGTATATAGTATGTATTTAATATACACTTATGAAATTTGTGTAAGATACATATTATATACTAAAGTGCGGAGTATACATATGAAATATATGAGAAACTTCACAACTGTACACACTGCCCAGTTTCAAATTGACTGACAGCAACTGTGATGTTTAACTAGGTCATTTTCCCTATTTTAACAGAGGCCAAATCACAGGTTCCAATTTAGGTGGTCATACACGGCAGTTTTGGGTAATGTACCAACGAGGGAGGAAACCGTGCGCTGCTCCTCTGTAAAGAGGCCTAGATTCAAGTGATCTGAGGGGAAATGGGCGTCCTCTGAGACCCTGGTGCTGCGTGGAATCAGTCAGACACAGAAGGTTGAACAGTGCTTAGCTGCTCTTGCAGGAGACACCCGAAGTGTAAACAATTTACAGAGCAAAGTAGAAGAAGATGGTGATAAACAGAGCTAGACTTTGAGGAGATGGGAAGGGTCCGGGATGTGGTGAGACAGGAGGGGCAGAAGGGAAGGGAGAGCGAAGAGGATGAAGGCGGGCGAGTACATAAGGCCCCAGGCCCCAGGACAAATGCATTCACTGTGCGACTCACGCGTGTGCGAATGGACGTTAGGACGAAGAAGAAACCACCACCATGATACCCAGGGTCAACTCATCTCTTCTCTTTTCTGTTCTTCTCTTCCCGTCCTTATTCTCAAAGAGAGTACTTAATTCCAGCATCGGGCTTCCAGAGCTTACAGTTCCGACTATTAGAAAACAAGATAGGTGTGCCTCAGCGGATGCGAGTGCCCTACAACAGAAGGCATTACCGAGACAACTTCTGCGGGGAGGACAATGAGCTGCTGCTGAGGTCCGAGCAGGAGGAGACGTTGCTGCAGCTGGTGCAGGTGCGCGGCCGGGCGCCGGAGCTTCCACTAGGGCAGAATTTTCAGACTTATCAATGGCGGGCCCGCCGGGGATTGGCACAGGGACCCGAGTTCGATACTGGATCCCGGAAAAACAAAACAAAACAGAATAAAATATTGGGTTGTATAAAAGGCATGGAAACATTTACAAAACACTAACTCGTAAATTCAACTCATTAAAACAGAGTATATTGGGAAACTAAAAAAATACGATCAATTATAAGTTGATATTGAATAATCTCATGTCATTAAAACAATTCCTTTAAACATCCCAACTAAGCAATATCTAATTACCAGGGTTTTCAACTAGTGTGGCTGATTTTTAAAAATTAAATTACTAAGAATTTTTTCCTTCATATCCAAATCCCCCCCCAAGATTATTAATTTGAATTTTTGTAGGTAAGTTATTAAATAAGATTTGTATTGTCTTGATTTACTTCGGAAAAATCTTCCTTTATAAATTAAAGTTTTAATAAATTATACAGAGCTCTCTAAATTTCAGGGTGTTTTAAATGTGGATTTATGTTATTGTATTCTACATATTATCCTATAATGACATAAACACGGAAAGAAAAAAATCACAGAACTAAGTTCAAAACTAATAATAGGGTAAAAGAAAACTCATAGATGTACATAAATTTATTTTTATTTTTAGATTCCAAGGTCTTAGAGACTCTTAAAAATCACATGGGTAGCTAAGTTTAAAGTTGGTAAGTGGACAATGCTTCTGAGATTAAAAGAGATCATATCTTATGCAAGTCACAGTTCTATCTGTGCCTAAAACAAAATAGTTTGAGAATACACAGTAAGATATTATTGAAACAAAGTTGATAAATGTTCATAGATTTCTAGAAGAAAATTGGGACTTCTGTTATCAGAAATTTATTTAAGAAATAAGAGATAAACATTATTAATGGGAATTATTTTAAAGATTTGGAAAAATTAAACATGTGAATTGGTATTTCATAAATGAGAAATGGAAGGCAAGGAAAAATACAAATAAAGTTGAAATATGTTTTTCAATAGTATGAAGATTTCTGGTTTCACATTTATGAATGTTAGGTATAGTATATTTTATATGTTTAAAAACTTGCCACATATTCACCCAAAAATAATATGTACTTTAGGCCTGGCTAGAAAGAACGCCTGGTTTAGAACCACATGGATTTAACTTCTGGGGAAAGTTGGAAAAAAATGTCACCAAAGGACTAGAAGAGGAATTCATAAAGATTCAGGTATTTCTGATGCCATGAGTTAATATAAAACTGCTACAGAAGTACTGTGGATTTTTTAAAAACATTGCCTACTGTTCTTTTTTTCTCATATTCTTTTCATTCATGTATCCTCTTATTAAATAATTCAGTTTTCTTCATGTGTAATAAAAATCATTTCTAAATTAAGATTTGTCACAGGGAAGATTTCTGTTTGTTGTAAATAACTGAACATATTAGAATTTTTTATGTCTCTTGAAAAATTCCACATTATAACCAATTGTATGCACAAATAAGAAACTAAGGGGCTTCCAACTAAATATATTTAACCATATTATTTTTCTTTTGTTCTTGTTTATCTGCTGGGTGCCATTTATTAACCATAGATTTTGTCAATTTGAGTTTGCTTAAAAAATACTGTTAATTCTCATTTTCCTCAAATCATAAGTCCTTCATCATCCATGAGTAAATTTCTCAGTGAATTGTTTAAATTCTCTATCTTTCTGGGCTGTATCGGGTAGGATAGAAAAGGTGAACTTTGAAGTCCCCCTGGCTGGACTGGAATTCCATCTCCGCAGTGTAACTTTGTGATAACAAACCAATAACCTCTCCTTGCTTCATTTTTCCCATTGACAGAACAGATAGAAAGGATATCTACCCAACAGGATCATGGTGCGCTTCAGATTACACTGGTGCTTGTAACTACGCTAGACAATAGTTAGGCTTATTAGCCTCCTTCCCTCACCCTTCACAAATGACAACACATTTGCAAATCCAAGTCTCACATTTACTCTTAACTTTATTTGGCTTCTCTGCAGCACTCAATACTAATGGCTACTGAGTATTACCCAAACATTCTTTCCCTTGAGTTTAGGATGCATCACCATAGCTGCATATAAATTCTCTAGCTCTTGCTTCTCTACTTCCTTTAGTTGCTCACAATTTTCTCTCAGACCAACAAATGAAGAGTGTGAAAGACATTCCCCTGCACATGCTGTTCTGTCTCTGGACTGTCTAATTTGATCAATATTGAATTATTTGCCAATAATTATCCAACAAGTACCTCTAGCTTGCCTGTCTCTTGGATTTCCATACCTATATGTAATGCTCTACTTATTATTTCCTCTTAGTCTTCTTAACAACTGACCAGTGAAACCAAACTTAGATAATATTCCCTTTCCTCCACTATCATACTGACGTGGTCTTTTCAGGGTGAAGGAAGCTTCTGTCCCCTAAGCCTTCCACCTGCTCCAGTCTTTCACCTCTGAGTACTCCTGACCTAAGAGTTGACAATGTCTTTGATCATTCGCCACATCCAGCCTGTCTCCTCCCTCAGACCTTCTCCTCTCTCCATCCCTCACATGTCCCTTGTCCCTGTTTTTCACCTGTTCTTCAGGAATAAGTCTCCAGCCTGTCCTGCCTGCCCCCAGAAGGCTCCATAGGAGTTCATTCTCCATAGTAGTTCATTCTAGTTGGAGTCATCTTTCAAAATGCAGATCTGGTCATCTCTCCCTTTTGCTTACAATCTTCTGATAGCTCTTTATCGTTGGGAGCAGCAGGCCTCTAATGCCTTTTGTATCTTCCACGGACCCACTCCATGTCTCCGCTGACCTCCCTACCACCTACACCGTCTGTGGTGCACGCCCTCCTGTGCAGCAGGACTTGTACAGCAGTGCCATGCTTTGGTGATGGTTTGATGATGCCTTCCTTGCACCAGGTAGTTGGGGTGCAGATTTTCCTCATAGTTTTAACACCGTCACCTTCGCATGAGCTTTCATTGTAAACATGAATCATTAATTGGCAATAATAAGCATGCAGGCTTTTTCCATGCCACATGTCCTGAGGAACTGAACATAATTGGGTTAATAATTCGCGCTCCACTTCCATTGATTTCTCAGAACGGCAAAGGTGAGGGGAACGTAAGAGCTGCTTTCAACCAGGCAATGGCTGTCGAGTGAATGCAGATGTAACACATATGTAAGAAATCATATAGATGGAGTGCAGTATTAAATACAGAAAATACTTTTCCCAAGAATTCTTACTTTTCCTAGGCAGAATTTACTTAAACCTTTGTTAAAAATTGCTGCTTAATATTAGATTATTCTTGATGACTTGTTGTTATCTCTAATTATAATATCTTGGTCCATCTCTCAAAATACTTGCAAGGAACTCTTTGCACATATCACACTACTTACATTTTAAAAAGATAGAACCTGTGTGTGTATTGTGTGTGTGAGTGTGAGTGTGTTTGTGTGTATGTAAGCCCCTAGTTCATTAAAAGGAATTTCCATTGTAATATTGGTTTATTAAATTTTCCAAGTATGCCCTTTCCACAACCCGACAGGCTGTTTAAGCAAAGTGTTTTAAACAGGAATCCATTCTCATTTGCGACTGTATCCCATGTTTTTCCTACAGTCTAAAGAGGAGTCTGAAGAAAAAGAGGAAGAGATGGCTGAATTTCAGAAACACAAAGAGGTGTTGCTGTCCTTATTTGATGAGAAGCGTCATGACCATCTCCTTAGTAAAGGTAGATATTTTCACTCTAAGGATTGTTTCCTGAGACTAAATGAGCATGAGATCGAAATATAGTTTTATAAGCCTGCCAAACCTCAGTTGGGGGCAAATAGAATGAAAGTTGCTGTCCTACTTAGAGAAGCAAGAAGAGGGTCAGTGTTGTCTCCTATGGTAATAGGTTTTTGTGTTCAGTGTGTTACAAAAACACTAGCAAACATTTTCATAGTATGTGCTCAACATGAGGTGTGCCCAGGTAGATTTGAGATGTTTTACAAGTGCCTCACAGCTTAACCGGGACAGAAGTGAGAACAACTAATCAAAACTGGACAGATGTCTGCTGAAACTGAGGTGAAAGAAGGAACGAAGGAACTACCCCCGAGTCGGGGTGACTGGGCAGTTTCCCACGCAGACCAGGAAAAGTATCTGCTCAGACTTTTGTCTCAATTTTTGACACAATGTTGAACTATGATTTCTTAAAACTGATTGACCCTTATGATCAGTGACTTCATTAGTCAACTGTTTTCTGTATCTGTTTGAGTCTATTCTGCTTACTTTGATTTGGACTTTTTAATTGTATAGCACCTCAAAGTCTTCTCAGATAGAGGCTACTTAAGCGAAGTGTTAGTCACACTTAATTTTTATAACATAAGTATGAGGTGTAGCAATATCTGAAATTAGTGTTAATTTGTTTAAGCTTAAAAGTTTTTAGCCTCAGTTTCCTGAAAGACTAAAAGAATGGCAAATCTTCATTCCTGCAGTAAGGATAAAAGCCTTTTAGTACAGGACAGGTGTGATTTTATATAGGTTTTGTGCCCCTTAAAAAACCAAGAAAATGAATTTTAAGTGAATTAGACAAAACTACTTTCAAGTGTAGTTTGGAAAGCATCTTCTTCAATTTTTGAAAAGCAATTCATCAAACTATTTTAGTTGGAAATTGATATTTATCAGGATGTTAAACATTTTTATATCAAATTTCCCTAATGTAAGATGACTGATAGGTTTTGAGAATTTAAAAATGTATATCCTCTGTTTAGCTTTTAGAATTCGATATTCAAATAATGTTTTGAATGAAGATTTCCAAATTCATGCCAAGAAATAAAAAATGTAAATTAAAACTGAAATTGTTTTTCAAAAGTGCATAAAACCTGTAATTATGTAGCGCAATAGTGCCAGATTAACACCGCGCTCCGGGTCAGCTCTGAGGTTGCAACTTGCTTCGTACTTCGCAGGGGAAAGGCGACTATCCTACAGAGCGCTGCAGGGAGCCCTGATGATACATTTCTACAGGTGAGAACCGGGTGGCTACCGATAGCATAAAGCTTTTAAATTGAAATCCTACTTTAATATGGTAACAGTTTCTAGAGAAAATTTCAAAAACAGTTATTTTTACTTTTAAATAACAAAAATGTAACTATCTCTGAAGCAAGTTATAAACTCATGAACATATTCAATATGCTTTTTTTTAGAAACTAAATTACAGCAAGTATCATGTTCCATTAAGTGTCCTAAAAGACCAAAGTTCATTTTTTTCAGAAACTCAGTCCTGAAATGTCTTCTGTCATTAAGCCATGTTTGGAATAATTTCTCATTTACAAAGTGAAGATGAACATCTCCTAAACTTTTGTTCTGCTTACAGTTGCCTTACTGTCTGAAATATCTGGTGTCCCTTAAATACTCTCTCTCCTACTTCATGTATGTGAAGTCCCTCCTTACAGATTCTGAATCGTGACTAAACAGGTTCTCACACTGGCTTCTCAAACTGGCCAAACACCAATGCTCATAAGATGTTTATGTCCTTGCATTTCTTTAATTTTTAAAGAAAACATTCTTAAATTTTTTTTTTTCCAGAGTGCCAGAGAACAAAATCCTTAGTTCTTTTCTTAAGCTCGAAATAAGTGTAGGTCTTTCAAGCTCGGGTGTCCTAAGGAAAAAACTGGACTGAGACAGTTGGAGGATTCCATGAAAAAGGAAAACAAACATACAAGAGCAAATGAAAAGTAGCCTTTGCTTGTGTGTCTGGGTGCGTTTGCTTTCAGCTTCCCTTGCGTCAGTGAGGAAAGGCCAGGCAGTGCGTGTCCTCCTCCTGTTAGGAGTCCATCTCAAGTGCGACTCCGGCTGGCTGTTTTATGTGTTATAATTTTCTAGACTTCACACAAATATTAGCAAGTCCTATTCTCACTTTGGGGAAGAAGAAGTAGAACAACTGCAGAGATGCCAGGGCTCCTGAGCGGCGAAGGAGATGCTTACAGCCCGGGCTCTTCGCATCCCCTGGATTTGCTGGAATGGCCGGCTTCTTCCTGAGCGTTTCCTCTTCTTTAGGGAAGAGCCTCGCTTCCAGGTCCCTTTCCAGCTGCTGACTTCTCTTATGGAAGTGGACGTGCTCGTATCCAAGTGGAGATGTAAGCGCCGCGCCCGCCCCAGCCCCCCAACCCTTTCTTTTACTCCGCTGCTTTGGGGGCTCAAGAGAATGCTTTAATTCATTTTCAAAACCAGAAGGAAAAATGAGCCTCAGAACAAAGGGAGTGTCTTAACATGGCTTACAAGAGCAACACGCCCAACATTAATTATGTCAGGGCAGTTGTAAAACATACATTCTATTCTTTTAATGGAGGGAGGGCCCTGCAAAGGACTCGTGAGGGCCACGCTGGCGGGCTGAGCACAGGGACACAGGAGCCGCAGCTGTGGGCCCCAGGCAAGCTGGCGTTTTTACCCCGTTTGGCCTTAGTCGCCAGCGCGTTCTCAGAGGCCATGACCAACCCTGGGGATCGAACTCAGGACCTTGAGCTTGTGAGACAGGTGGCGGCACCACTGAGCTAAATCCCCAGCCCTGCTCCATGATTTTAGGGCACTGTGAGACTCACAGCCCACAGACACTGTGGACTAAATGCCTGTGTTTGCCTAGATAACCATGTGTGTTTGGTGCACCGGATGCTGGGCAGCAAGGCGGGGACTGGCGGCTCCTCCGGGTACCAATACCTGCGCTCAACCGTGAGGTGAGGTGGACCCCTGCCCTGGGGCGTCGCCGCACATTGCTGGGGAGGGCCTCTGACCCTCCTGCCTGCACCCCACTGCACTCCTTTGGAGTTAGGTGCTCAGATGCTGCTCCTTCCGTTGGGTAAAATACCCCGTTCTGGACTCTGATCTTCGTGATCCTAGGATGAGCAGGGTCAGGGTGGCATGAAACATGCTTAAATGTTAAATGTTTGAGCATTTTGTATTTCATTTTGTTTAGTATTCATAGCATCATAGGTAAAGCCGAAAAACCATGTGGAATCGAGAAGCCCTGGCTCCATGGAAACAGGAATCAGCCCGCTAGGTTGGTGCTGCCATGCAGCATCCAGACTCCTGAGTGTACATCACTTTCCTCCACACTCGGGCCGGATTGGCTGGTTTAGAAAATGCACAGGTTCACAGTTTTACCACTTCTATGCTTGTCTAGCCTGAGGCACTGGACTTCATTTCCAGCACTGAGAGAGAACAAACACACACTGGCAGAGTGGTGGGAATAATTAATCCAACACCATTTTTGCCGTTTCCTTGTCCCATGTCATCGATGCAAAGTCCCGGCCAGAGGAAAGGACTGTAGCATTTATTTATAGAACTAGAAATCGTTTTTATTTACCTATGGAATTTTGAATCCCGTGTCCATGACTAGAATCGGGATTGCAACCTAGATTTACTTGACTTCAAGGCAAAAGTTTGTCCTCTATAAAACTGCAGCAGTCCAAACAGCCCTCTGACAGGCACAAACGCAGAAGATATGGTAATGTTGAAATCATGCATGGATACTTGAATGGACCAAGATGGCTCTCAGTGTACCAACGCCTTCAGTGGTATTGCCAGCTACTTGGTGGTTGGGTAGTGTTTTCCAGTGAGCTATCACAGACTCTGTAAGCTTTGAATTTATGACTTTGCACACAATCCTTTAAAAGTAGGAATGATAACACTCTATGCAGATAGCACGACAGGGATTCTAGGTTTGAATCCGCATCATACCTCTCTGGATCAGCCAAAGACATAATACTGTGTTACGACCCTGAACTTTGGACACTGATTCAGCCTGAACAGTCTTAAGGCTCCATAGCTAACTACACATACTATATCCGGTATGCAAAACAGGAAATAAGTAATTTTTGAGTACTATGATAAAGGACCCTAGAAAATAGTTTTGGGGGAGAAAATTTTAAATATTTCATGTCAACCAGTCTAACGATCTACACGTATGTTTTCCCAGTGACAGGTACAAGGTGTTTGTGGATTTATTCAACCTTTCTACCTATCTGGTTCCCCGACACTGGATGCCAAAGATGAACCCCATCATTCATAAATTCCTTTACACTGCTGAGTATTGTGACAGCTCGTACTTCAGTAGTGATGATTCAGATTAAATTTGTATGGAAAATCTGTGAAGAATATTGATTTCTCAGTCCATTTTTATATTTTCTGAATTTTCCTAAATACACGTAGAGTCTAAATGTAGTATATTGGGTAATGTAATGTATTTATAATACATGGTTAAATATCACAGTGCTCTGATTTGCTTCTGGAAATAATTGCCTCATGTCTGTGAGGGTGTAAGATTAAGAATTAAGAGGAAAAGTAATTTAGTGAAATTGTGATATCACATGTGGGGTCCTTTCCTGTTAAAAGCTCAGTTTCTTTTGGTGCTGACCTTAAAGTATCTACTAAATGTAACCTTGTATTTCTTCATAATTTACAGGCTTTTAAACCAGATATCTCAAAAGTTTTGTGCAACAAAATGTGTCATTCTGTACAAAACCTTTTGAAACAAATGGGATAAAATAATAAATGTAGTTATTTTTGAAATGTTACCTTTGTTAAGACTCTTGCTAATTAATGGAAGGAGTCTGTCTGAAGCTTGTTGGAGGGTTTATTGGGGGATTTTCCCTTGAGTTCCCAGAATTGAAAGGAGCCTTAGATGAGGAGGCTGAAGATCTCTGATGGCTCAGAAAAGGTGGTGGGGGGCTCCTTCCCCAATGTGCTGGTTCTGGAGGCTCAGAGGACCGCTGTCTTATCTTCTCTCTGCCAGTGTCAGCTTTGTTCTTTCCTCTTGTAGACCACACCCTCTCACAGGTTCGGTGCTATCGCTCAGTACCTCTGATCCTGTCCCTACCCCCAGTCCCTGCCACTGTCACTGGGGAGATAAATCAACACCAGTGCATGGCAGAATGGAGGTGCAGATTAGCAGTGGTTCCTGTAAACAATATTGGTCTTTCAAAAGAAAGAGATATAAACATAATATATAGTGATCCTGTTTATTTTTAATAAAAGTTCCACACTGAGACTTTAGATCACGTATGAGTTTTAACGAACTTGTTTTTTCCTAGCTTGGCCTGGATTTTGATTAGTTAAATTTTTCTCATGGGAGGGAAGACATACGACTATCAAAGAAATCTAAAGTGTAACTTACTGTTGACCTCGAATGACTAGCCAGCAGTGAGCTCTTGACCCTACTGAGCTATTCTCTGGCCTCAATTACCAGTCATTTTCCGGAAGGGACCAGATCCTGTAGTGGACTGTATGTGTGGCATCGTCTGTCTGCACCCACAGGTTCAGTATCTACAGATCCAATTCACCACAGCTTGGAAATTAAAAAACAAAACAAAACATTTTTATCTGTATCGAACATATATGTAGAGTTTTTTGTCATTTTTCCCAAAGCACGACAATATAGCAGGTATTGACAAAAATTTTACACTGTGCTGGTATTTTAATCTAAACATGACTGGGAGGCGGCCTCAGAACCAGTCCCAGGCACCCAGAGGGGCAGCCGCAGTTGTGGGATCAGCATCGTAGCTAAAATTTCTTGAGTGTGCACTGCTTGGTGGCTACACAGAAAGCACAGAGGCTGGGCTCGCGAAGGCTAAGGGAGTAGGTTTGAAATCAGCCACCTGGGAGTGAATTCTGGCTTTTCCATTTGTGGATGATCTGCTGTAGAAAAGTCATCCACGTCACCTCTAGTTTTGTCTTACTGGGGTTAAAAGCGCTTACAAGCTTTTCTCCACAAAGTAGTAAATCACAATATTAATACATATTCTCTCGCCACAATACCTTGAAATCTTGGACTTAATGCTATTTATTCTAAGAAATGACGCTAAGACATACCATTCTTTCTGTAGATGGCATGATTTGATTGCGCTCTTCGTGTGTATGTTTTTGGTGTAACTAAGGTATGTAGTTTTAAGAGTTGTGTTCACAGGATATGTTTGGAATTCTTATAGTAATTAGCAAAATACTTTATTTTTATTTTACCTTTTACTATGCGAGAAGAGTATTTATTGCCATTGGAAGTGGTTCTAATGTTTTCTGGGGGATGGTGGGAGTGGGGTCTCGGACGTCTTCAGGTCCCAGCAGCGCAGATGTCAGCACCGCGCAAGCCTGGCCACACTCCTCACTGTTGCGGAAGTGGTTCTCCTTAGCTGGGCATCCACCGTGGACACATTTCCCACAGAGTCCGGAGGAGGCTTTGAAGAAGAGCCTGGGAGACAGACGGCAGCCGGGGCCTGTTCAGGAGGATCCAGGCAGAAAGCAGGTGGTGGGGCTTGGGAAGGGGCCCTGGAACCTCTCTCCTGGGTGCTGGTCACCAGGGAATGGGGAAGACAAGCAGAACTGCAGAGGGGAAGAGCTGGTGCATCTTGGTGACGAGATGGCTTCCTGAGAGCTGGGGACCAGCAAAATAACTTATGACGACAATTCCCATCCTTAATCTCACCAAAACTTGCTTCTGGTATGTGCTGATGATCACTTTAATTGGTAATTCTTTTTCTTTTTTTAATTTTGGTTCTGGGGCTAGAACTTGGGATGCCATATGTGTTAGGCAAGCTAAAGAGGTAGTCTGCCACTGAGCTACACCCCTAACCCTTTAAATCATAACTATTAAATGAACCACCTGATCACCGTAAGGTTGGCTGATTCATAGTTTAATATTCAGCACTCTAGATCCTTGTGAAACCACGCTGCGTACCTGCTGGTGGTTTCCCAGCCGGCAGGAGACCTTTGAGGAAGCCCTGACTGTACAGCCTTTGGCATGGCATTGTGTGGAGCGGAACAGGGGGACCTTTCTTTGGGACAGCTCCTTGAAAAGACGTGTGTTCCCACTCTGGGCACCGCGGAGCTCCGAGTCGTTTAGAACTGCTCAGGAATATGACCCAGTTTAGAATTGTGAATTCGGGGAGTATCTAGGGCAATTATAACATCTATAAGAATCACCCGGATTCCGGTCTAGGGACTACGCTTTGAGAACACAGGTGGCACATTTAGTTTCCTTGGTAGTGAAAGTTGACAAAATTGAAATAGAGACATTGTGTCAAACACTAAGAAAAGAAAAAGCCAAGATGATACAAAAGAGGAGATCCAATGATTGGGAGCCAGATGGCAAAAAATATCACAGGAGATGGCTAGAGCCACCACCTGGACAGGGGTTCACCATAATTTTATACAAAAATACTTAGGCGAGGACATCTCCCCAGCTACTGTCCACTCAGACTTGGACTGATAGCACGGCTGCTGCTGACCCTTGTGACCAGGGACAATCATTTCAATTTCCTGTAACTTAAAAGGAAGTTGTGTTCCTTTATTTGGGGGATATGACCACATATTCTCATCGCAATGTTTGTCCCTGTGTAAAGGCGCTGCCGTTGGGGAGCCTCTCTGGGTGGCCGTTTCAGGGTGACAGGAGGCCACTGAGCAATGGACAGAGACTCCCAAGGCCCCACCTCCAGAAAGGACAGGAAATAGAGAGAAGGCAGGTGATCAAGTGAGGAGACACTCGCAGGGAATTTGGCCAGATTCATTATGGATCCTTTTGAATTTATGGGTTGAGAGATTATATATGGATGCTGTTGGCTAAAGTACGGACTCTATCATGTAAAACGTGTGGCTGTTGGCATTGTTGTTGTGAAACAAGGACAGCAGGAGGAGAAGGAGCGAAGTCTCGGGGACCCTGAGTTAATGGGTGCATGGGGAAAACCAACACTGGATGTGTATCGGAGATGAGGATGCTGGGTGTGCAAGCAAAGCATTCTGATACCATGTTGGCAAAATGCAAGCCGCACACTTAGGAACAAGGTCTTTTCAGGAACAAGCTGTTTTATTATGAATGTCATCAAAATCCAGAACATGTGAGAAGTATTAACCAGTTTGAAATTCTTAGGAATTCTTTAGTATTTGAAAAAAGAATATTAGAAAAGCATTTTCTATAGCACAGAAAAAAATCAGCAGCCTAACATACTAGAACAAACAGGATTTATTTCCTTTCTGGTTTATTTGGATAATTAAAATATCTATCCACTAAAATACCAAGATGTGTCATCCTGGAACATCTCCAAACCTGAGTTCAGACAAATTATTTTGAGAAAAATAATTTTAAAAACAGGATAGCCAGAATTTATTTTTAGTAGTTGCTGCTGCCTTTAAAAAATTTTTTTGTTGTTGTTGTTGTTAACCTCTTCTACATTAAAAAACATTCATTACTCAGAAGTGGTACCATATGTTGTGATTCCAGTACCCTTGAAAGCTGAGGCAGGAGGATTGCAAGTTTGTGCCCAACCTGGGCAACTTAGCAATTTAGTGAGATCCTGTCTCAAAGTAAAAATAAAAAAAACAAAAAAATAAAAAATGTCTTAGTTCAGTGCAAAGTCCCTGGATTCAACCACCAGTGCTGCAAAAGCAAAAAACAAAGAGATGAAAAAACAAAAACAAAAACAAGCCATGTATTTTAGGGCAGACATATTTACATGGATGGTATGTGATATGATTTTATATTAACTCTGTGACAGTTGTCATTGTATTTGATTAGAAGATCAGCTCTTTTGTTCTGAGTTTTTAAAAATATAACAATATACTTCTGCTTTCTGAGAAAAAGAATGGATTAGGTTACAGACAATGCCCAGAAATTGTTTACAGTTGATGGTAAAACACTTGCAAAGATCTGGGTGCTGAGGTTTTGTTACCACCACACCCCCAGGAGGAGCAGCTCAGTGCTGGCCGAGGGCACGAGCTGCACAGCACAGCTGGCCCTTCTGGGCACACTTAACTGTCAGTTACCACTGAGGACACAAGTACATCGCAGCGCCTGGGACACTTATGCAATCAGACCCAGGAAGGACAACAGGCTTTGAGGACCAGGAGCCGGGAGCCCAAGGAAAGCCCAGGATGGGGACCAGGAAATCTAAATGGAAAACAGAAGTCAGAGAGCCTGGTGCTCACATCTGCACTGCTCGGGACTACACCAGATTGGGGGAAAGATACAACAGAATCATGACGGGAAGGCAGAGGAGTGATCCTCTGGCTGATAAAGCGCTGACGTTGATAAAAGGGAGCCAAATGAGTGAGGAGAAAATAAAATGGAAAGTAAGCTGCAAGAGCAATTCTTCAGTCGGGGAAGCAGGCCAGTAGGAGAACCTGAGAGATACACAACAGACAGTAACAGACAGCGAGTAAACATGGCAAAGACTGTTCTGTGACACCAACAGAAGATTCTAGAAAGTTAAAGTAGTTTTGGATTTCTACTGACAGAAAAATTTCAAAAAGTAATTTATCTGATAGACAATATTATCTGAAGTGACTGATAACATAGGGGTCATAGCAATTATTTAGTTCCACTTTGTTTCTCTTAAGAAGGGAGCTGGCATTTTCTTCCTTCTGTCCACAGGTAAGCGCCATGAGAAGCGTGAAGCCACCGCCTTTGCAGCTCCTCACCAAGGCGTGTCTCCGAAAGCCACAGACGGCATCGCGAGAGGCTCGGCACCTGAGGCAGGGCGCTGCTGTCGAGAAGGGTAATCCAAACCTCCAGATCGTGTCCCACGAAGGGAAAGGAATGATCACCTCTGTGATCATACCAGAACAAGGTTCTGGTTAAACATTGAAAGAAAATCAGCAAACAACAGCTTCTTAAGTTGGAAGAACCTAAAATGCCTCCTTATCCTGTTTCCTCCCAGAGCAGGAAACACGCATCTCCTTCCAGACCTCTTAGAGGTTTTGGTGTCCATCCATTAGACTCAATCCTCCGAGGCTGGGAGATTTTCCCAGGGAGTTGCTGAAGCTTGAATGTGAGTCAAACTCGGAATGAAATGCTGTTGTTTTATGGCACAAGTCTCTTTTCCTGTTCCCAACATGTCACAGAAACACAGCAGCAACGGAGTCTGCAATACCTAAGGAGGAAAGGGAATTATTAGTTTCAGTTCATTTCCTCTTTAGGTGTTTTTAAATAGCAAGTTAAAACTTCATTTTCATGTGGGTTTAGGAGGCGCATCTCTACCTGCCAGCGAAAACAGTTACCTCCAAAGCAGGAGTTAGAAGAGATGCTTAATATTTTTGTTTGAAGCGAAAAAACAAAACAAAACAAAACTACTTGTGAAATGAATAGGCAAATGCATCTAAGATAAATATTGCACTTGTATAGAGCATATTTCTTTTTCATCTTTTTTTGGGGGGGTACCAGGGAATGAACTCGGGACCTTGTGCTTGCCAGGCAGGTGGCGGAACCACTGAACTAAATCCCTGGCCCTTATAGCATATTCTCAAAGGGAATAAAACAACTTACATATTAAGTATAATTTTAAAATTCAAACTCTAAAATTGAAATTTAAGTACAATTTCAATAAATCACAGATGTTCTATACTTTCTTAACACCACCATACAGAGCTCACTGTAATGGCCGAAGCGCGGATGTTATTCTTTGGAATTTTACTGGGGCCGTGGGATGCGATATGCCTCATGCCATCGTTCACATGAATCAGCAGGCATATCAACTTCAGGCAATATTCTCAGGAAAGATTTGGATCCCTGTGTAGTTAGCAACCAGGCAGACACTTGGCGATGCAAGTGATCAAAGCATCTCAACTCATCCCTGGTAGCTGAGGGCTAGGGAAAGACGCAGACTCAGAATCGAGGCAGTTAGGGAACAGTGTCTGAATATTGTTCTTGCAACTCCCTTGTGAGAGCCTTGAGAACAGCACAAATCTAGGCAGCAGCAATTTCCAGAGGTGATGTGAAAGAAACCGGCACCTGCCAAAGATCACTCCACACACAGACAGAGCTCGTATGAGAGATTTACTGTGGAACCACTGCGGCCCAGTGGCCTACTCGGAGGAGGAGGAAGAAGAGAGAGAGCTGGGTGGAAGGGGCTTGGTTATGTAGTGGTGGCTGGTGTAAGTGGGTCGGGGAATTGCATCAGCGGCGCGGGCAGCCACTCCGAGGTCATATTTGTGATCCGTTCCTTAAGTGGACAAGCCTTGCTTGCGCGTCGGTTTCGATTACGGACGATGACGTGTGATGTAGGAAATGGAAATTTCAGGCATAAAAATGGCGGTCGCTAACCAAAATGGAGAGAGCCATGTCAAGGCCGTTATATAATGCATGTCAGCGCAGGGGCTCCGTGAGTGGTAACAGTGATTTATCCAAAGTTCTAATGATATAAAAACACTCAGTCCGGCTGCAAAGTAGAGACCTGGTTGGCTCCGAGAGCTCCTGCCAAAAGATTTCAGTGATGTTGAGCCTTTTCAGTGAACAATTTGTGAAAAGTTTTCTACTTCACATAATGATTGGAAAATAATCACTAGATTAAATCAAATCTTTCACTTCAAATATTTAGTATAACTCTTTTCTCAATCTGGAAGGTTCTACCATTTTAAAACAGTGATATACTCCATGTGTTCCACTGATGGTAATCAGGCTTATTTCTATTGGCAGCTTAGTTTGGGTGTGGCTTGATTTAGAAAATATGTTGATTTTTTTTCAACCAACAGTTTTAGAAGGTAGCTTTGAATATAGGCTTTAGAATAAAGCTTAATATACTTAACTTCTTTAGTTTGGTAAAGCTTCAATAAATTTATTAAATTTAAAACAATGTTTGATATTTCACCAAACTCTCAATTCCACCAAGTGAATGTTTTACTAGAACTTTTAGGGTTCAAGGGGAATAAGTCAGAAAAAAATCATAATGCTCAGATTTTCACATTTTGATGCAAGAAAAACTGCTTCTTAACCATTTTTCTTTCTTCTCCATTCTCTCTCTCTCTCTCTCTCTCTCTCTCTCTCCTTTCTTCCTCCCTTCCTCCCCCTTTTTTCCTCTTCCTCCCTCTTCCTCCTCCTTTTCCTCCTCCTCCTCCTCCTTTTTCCTTCTCCTCCCTCTTTCTCCTTCCGTTTCTCTTTCCTCTCAGTCCTTGGGATTTAGCCCAGGACCTCACATATATTAGGAATGTGCTCTCTTGAACTATACCTTAGCAACTATTGATAATCATCGAGCAGGTATTATGATACCCAAATTAGGGACAGAGTTATAAAAAAGTAAAAGGAACAGCACAGCGTCTCTGGAGAGATTCAGTCCCCTAACGTGAGTGTTTATCTGGCTTTTAAAGTAGTTAATTCTGGTACATTATTACTTTATCTTATGTTTTGGCATATGCATGTGATATATATACACATATGTACAGAAGCAGGAGAGAGGGAGGGAGGGAGGGAGAGAGGAAGAGAGAATGGAACGGAGACGCGCTCCATGTTTACAGAGAAGACTTCCCAGAAATAACGCACAACTCCTCTGTACATGTGTGCGTGGGTCCCACTGGCCAGAACTTACCCATACGGCTAAGCGTAGCCTAAAGGAAGATAGGAAACAGTTTCATAGCTGGCTGGGAAGGCATCTACTTAAAATATAGGAATTATTTCAATAATGAATATATATTTATTTACAGAATCTTCCTTGACATTTAGCACGAAGTTTGAAGTGCAGATTTGAGACTTACCACACATGTTGCTCCCCATTTTGATGTAGATGTAGCCTCCTACTCCCCACGAACTTCCCCACGAATTGCGAACAATCCAGTACGGCGTGCTGCCTGCAAACACAGATGGAACGGACTGCAATACTCTTGTGAGTGCATCACTTCCTTGTGTCAAACTGGGTTTCTCTAGGTCTAGAGGCTCAGAGAAAAAGATGCTGGGTGTGGTGTACAATGGCATATATCTAGATGATTTTACTGGTGTGTCATTACATAAACGCATTTTAAGTTTACAAATATAATAACACAATCACTTACATTGACATTATACAAATTATATCTATCAATATAAGTAGCTAAGGAACTGTGAGCTGGATTAGGGTCCCACTCTAATCTTGAGAAACACACGTTTGAATTCATTTTGTTCAACTGAGGGGCTGCATAAAATGGACACGAACATAAAATTCTAGGAAATTTGAGGAAAGCAAAACGAAGAGTTATTGGGCATGTATGATACATTCACAAGCTCTTCTGCTTTCCCAGCCATCATCCTAAATATTAAGCAGAGAATGTTTCTTATTTAAGTACGATGGTCCTTGTCACGGCTTAGGTCAGTGGTAGGTGCCTGTCTGAGCTCCTTTCCTGCGCGGGAAAACAAAAGTCACCATGACTAAAAGCAGAGCGGGGACCCAGGGCAGCGTGGGGGCGCTCGGAGAGGCTGGCGAGTCGGTTCCCACACGGCAGCCCGCGCTCCGCACTCTGCCTGGCCGCGTCTGGCAGCACCCAGTCTGGGAGCAGAGGGCCGCCTGAGCGCCTACCCGTCCGATCGAAGCCAGTGATGAGCACCGCGTGGTTGGCGCTCCCGCTGGAGCAGTGGTGCTGGACGATGCCGCCCAGGTAGTCCTGCCAGCTCACCGCGTCCACAATCGCCACCAGGGGGCCCAGTGTGAGCAGGGCCCTCGCCATCTCAGCCTCTTGGTCACTGTCATAGGAGGAAACACTTGGGTAAGGAATTTAGCTTTCATAGCAAAAATAAAAATTACCTTTTCAATCTGTGTATAATTACAGGGAGGTTTGCTTTCAATTAGAAAAGAGAAACAGAGGCTCAAAATGTCTAGAAATCTGGGACATTGGTATCTCAGAACAGTACACACATCCAAGACACCAGGAACCCCTAGACACCACCGCTTTCTCTCTCCTATCTGAAGCTTCCATTCTGAAGGTCTCATAGGCCAAAAGGGCTGCTTGCGCCCTGGGCATTTCACACACATTTCAGACAGCAGGGGATGCAAAGGGGAAGCTCTCCAAGTTTACAGAGAAGACTTCCCAGAAATAACACACAACTCCACTGTATATGTGTGCATGGGTCCCACTGGCCAGAACTTACCCATACAGCTAAGTGTACCCTAAAGGAAGATAGGAAATAGATTTCATAGCTGGCTGGCAAAGCACTACTTAAAATATAGCAACTCTTTCAGTGATGAATGTGTAAAGGCTATGTATTATCAATACTGTGATCTATGCCACATCCTGTTAGAATCGAGAGACAGACAAATTTCTGTTAGTGAACATAGAAACTATAGTGGAGCATTACCCGAAAGTAGTGAATATAGTTACACAGAAGAGGGTATGGCTTAAAAGGAAAGAGGCAATGCTAAGGTGTCAGAAAGATTATGTAGGTGTTAGGTTGCCAAGACTACAGAAAACACAGTTGTTGCTTTCACAATTATTATGGACATCCCCTGGCAAAAATCTTACATTGCACAACATTAGGCCTTTATCAATCTTGAAAGTATATGATTAAACCAGAATTTATATTTTTCAAAGGTCAACTTTGTGGGTGAAGGACAATGAAACCAAGTTACTGACAGCTCAGGCCATTAAGACAGCATCTGGTAGTTTATTGCCACAGCATGCTGTCGTGGATTAGCGGCTTGAAAGAGTAAATATTCACAGCCAGCTGGAGAGCAGTTTCTAGTGAAGGAGCTACTTTATCCACAGATGATGAAAATCCCGAGTGCATAACAGTGGGATTTGCTGGAACAGGAGCTCCACAGTCATGTAACACATGTGACCACTCGACCTAAGGACTTGCGCAGTTCTGTGGAGGGAGTTTGTGCTCCAAGACTTGGTGTTCATTATAGCAAAAATGAAAAATTATAAAATTTTCAGAAGCATAATGATAAAGTATGAACTTTGAATTTCCTCAAATCTGGGTTCAAATGCCAGCCATACACTAGATTCTTTCCCCTTACCAGGAAGAATCAACAAAAGTGTAAAATTATATAGTTTTATAGGCTGTAAGCTACACATCATACATATGATGAGTTTACTCTGACTTTCCAATAAACTTATTCAGAGGTCATTCAGAAATGAATTCTGTACAGTATAGGTTTGATTGTAAAGTGTGTGACCCATTTTTCAAATACTTGTAATATTTTGTCGTTAAAATGTGAAATGTATGATAATCTCTGAATTAAACCAGAGTTGTCTTTGTCTAATTAAGAGGACAAAGGATCCAGTGCAAATACAGCACAGCAATGAACCAGTTACACAGATGGCATGAGAAAGCACAAAGATTGCAAAGGAGGAGTATTTAATTTAGAATGTGAAACTATTAATGCTACAGCATTGAAGGAGTACCTTGGGAGTAATCCCTGCTTGAGCAGGATAAGGAAAAGATATAAAAAATATTAGAAGATCAGAAAAAGGATAACAGCCCAGTCATGATCAGAAAAAGGATGATAGCCCAGAGAGATGTCCCATTTGGCACCAGAACTAAGGGGTATTTTTTTAAGCCACTTCTCTTAAAGAAGATGGGGGCTTAAAGCCAGTTTAAATATATTCCAGACAGCATCATTACTTCCATTATTTGCCCCAATATTGATGTCAAAAGTTAGTGTTGATAATAGATATTTTATCAAATTCTGGTTGCATGCACTTCGTGTTAATTTCACAGATCAGTAATTTACAAAACCTACAGCCTCCAAAGAGTTTTCTGCTGGTGGATGACTTTGTAAGTTCCTGTCTCATCTTCCCTAGACTTCAGTGCATGACACTGTGTTGATGCTTTGGTTCATGATAAGCTGTAGGAAGTTTCTTCCCTGTTTGTTTATTTAAACAGTTATTCTCATATTGTTTGAGCTACAAAATATCTTACTTTGGAATCTGGTGAACAAAAATTCTTTAGAGAAAATTCACGAGAATCCTAATGTGCGAGTTCACTCTGCTTCAGCAGTAGAGGATGTATTTGTGTTCTGATTTCTTTTCCCCCCATCTTAAATCTTTTCAGGTTTTCACAGTGTTTTCTTGAGGTTTTGACTGCTGGCAATACACTGAACTGACATTTCTTTGGAACTCTGAAAATTAACAGCTTCAGAATAAACAGGGGAGGGACAAATCTAAAGATCCAATAAAAAATGGGCATCTGGAATGAACAGACACTTCTAAGATAAAGAAAGACAGATGACCAATAAATACATTAAATTCCAAATAAAAAAGTTAGATGAGTAATAAATACATTAAAAATATGCTCAACATCACTGGCCACTAAGGAAATGCAAATTAAAACAACATTGAGATTCCATCTCACCCCAGAAAGAATGGCTTCCATTAAGAAACCAACCCATAACAAATTCTGGTGAGGTTGCAGGTGAAAATGAACCCTTTTCCACTGTTGGTTAGAGTATGAACTGCTACAACCACTGTGGAAATCAGTATGGAGATACCTCAGAAAACTAAAAACAGAAATTCCCCTTGACCTTCTAGTTATCATATGGAAGAGTTAAAGACATTCTATCACAGCTATGTACGCATGCTCATGTTTATAGCAGCATAATTAAAAATAAATAAATCTTGAAAATAGCTTGTATGTTCATCAACAGATAAATGGATAGGGGGCCAGGGATTTAGCTCAGTGGTTCCGCTGCCTGCCTTTCAAGTGTAAGGTCCCGAGTTTGATCCCTGGTACCAAAAACAAACAAACAAACAAACAAACCAAACAACCAAAACAAAACAAAACAAAAAACCAGATAAATGATAAAGAAAATGTAGTCTTTATGGAATACTACTCTGCCAAGGTTAAATTTTAGTCATTTGTAAGAAAATTGTTAAGAGCAAAATTATCAAGTGAAACAAATATATTAAAAAAGATATATTACAGGGATGGAGTGGAGGCAGAGAGGAAGACAGACAAACAGAGAGGAAGAGGAGGACAGACAGAGACAGAGAGAAAGAGAGAGATGCTCTTGTAATCTAGCACAATGTATCTGAAGTGTACCTTGATTTAGTATAATCGTTTTTTATGGGTTTTGGCCTATTCCTCTGGTTGTTAATCTGTATATATGAGAACTAACTTTGTAAGTACTTGTAAGATAAATTAATCTGATGCTGACAAAATAAAAGGAGTAGAGGGAAGGGGGTGTACAGGTACTAATTCCCTGCAGTGAGTGTAAACATTATGGAATAAAAATAAGTATTAAGGCAATAAAGGAAAAAAAGAAAGGACAGAGGGAGGGAGAGGCAAGCTAGCCTACAAAATTCCAAATAATAAAGTTAGATGCGTAATGAAAGTGGAGAATCACCACGTGCACCACCATGGAAGTTAAACAGCCAGTGTTTGGGGGAAGCTGTATTTGCTCTCCCTTTGTACCTCCTCTCTAGCTGTTCATCATCACCCTGTGCGTAATCTCCCTGCGGATCTATAACTACTTAAGGCAAACACTGCTTTTAAGCATTGTTTTGGGATTTGTGATGGGTAGAAATGAAATGTATTCCAGGAGCACAGAGAATGGGTGAGTGGAGCTGGGCTCGAGACCTTTCCACGCTTTGCGTTTACCCAAGAGTGCAGTGCACACCTCCCGCGCTGGGCCTTCAGCTCGGAGCCTTGCTCATGCAGCCAAGCTCTCTACCACCGAGCTGGTGCTACAACGTTAGCCGACCCAGCTCATGTGTGCCACAGAAACGCAGAGCACTGGAGTCACACAAAATGCAGACTCACTTATGTGCCAGTAAAAGAATACAATTGAGTCAAATGAGAAAAAAAGAATAAACCGTGGAGGGAGCAGGAGGTGTAAAGGGAAGGAGAGGTAAAAAGAACTGAGTAGTGTCAAGTACCACCCCATGGATGGAATCACCACGAGGCACAGAGAGAGCATGCAAGGGAAAGTGTGAATTTGAGCTGGGCAGGTGCAGGTTTTCACCCAGTTCTGCCTCGAACAGCTGTGCCTGGATGAACCCCAGGCTTCAGCTCAGATGCAGACGGTGCTGTCCCCGTGGCAGGCCCTGGCTCGGCTGTCCTGCATCGTCCTTTACGGCTGCCGGGCATCCACCTTTACGGCCCTCATGCAACGACCTTTACGGCCGCCACGCTTTGTTCTTTACGGCTCTCATGCATTGACCTTTACGGCTACCCAGCACCGTTATTCACAGCCATCACACATTGTCCTTCAAAGCGCGCCGTCCATCTCGCACCTCAGGACTCTGCACTTGTGGCTCCCTCTGTTTGGGAAAATGTCCCCTCGGATATCTGCAAGTCTTCTCCCAGCTGTCACCTGCTCACCTGCTGGCAACCCCTTCTAGGATTATACCCTCCCCTTCCCCCACCCGCGTCCTCCCCTTACGGATCTGCTCTGCTTTCCTAAGTCACAACAGGGTCCAGCAAATAGACGCGCGAAAGGCCAGTCCAGTACCAGCAGTTTAGGATCACAGTCAGCCCCTTTGGAGAGCTTAGCGTTCCGTGTGGAGCGTGGAGACTTTGGGCTGAGCCTATGGCTCACGGGTGCAGTGCTGGCCTGACACGCACAGGAGGCACAGCCGTGAAGCTAACACTGCGAAAGAGAGCGATCTGAAGGGAATGGACCAGAGACCACAGCGTTAAGTGAGAGGAGTCAGACACACGAGCTCAAGTAGCATGCGGCTGTTTCTCACATACGAGCAAACTAGAACATAGAAGAAAAACGAAAAATATGCGAAACACAGAAGATAGACAACAAGGTGTAGGGAGACAGAGCTTTCGCAAGTGGGATCAAGAGGTGGAGGCAGGGAGGGGGAGGGGAAGGGGATGAAAAGGGGTGGAGATGTGTTGCGCACACGCACCAGTTTCCCACGAGGAATGTAACTGTGTGCACTACAAACTGTACCCACACAAAAGAAAAAATGTTCAGAAAGCATATGCGGAAGGCTTTGATCGAATTACTCATTGGGAAGAGTCGACAGATCATACATTAAGAACACGGAGAGAAGAACCCACAGAAGACCTTTACCTGAAGTCATATGCGGAATAGCCTTGGATGGAAAGTCCGGGCTGTGATCTGGAGAAGTAATGGCACAGGCCATTCTGTGCTTTAAATGGGTATTCCGAGTCTCTCACCAGTTTCACTCGTGTCTAAAAAAAAAAATCACCAAAAATGTCCATGTGTCGGTTGTTTTAAGAATCAGAGTTTACTTCAGCCTATCAGAACAGGCCCAACCTCACCCCAGCGCCATAGGAGCACCTGAGTTCTTACGATCCTAGATGGTGTCGTCAGTGCGTGCTGTGGGTGACCTACAGGACCAGAACAAGTGTATTTCTCCCTGGGTCACTCCTATTTCTCTTCACCTATCATCTTTCCGAAACTCCACCAATTACCTGAGTGTCCTGGGGGAGCCCGCCTTCCTCCCCGCGTCCAGGCTGCCAGGCCTCCGACACAGCGCAGTGCCGTAGACTCTGATGGCGAGGCCAGGCCTTCGCTCCACCCTTCTCCTCACGCCGCTCATCCAGCAGGTGTCACCTGTCTTACAGGTGTCTGGACAGAGTCCTTCCTTTCCGAACCCCGGGCTTATCAGAATGGAGAGCACATGCAGTTTGTCAGTGTTCACTGTGTATTCACAGCGGTTTCCGATTGAAAATACAGCGAGTGTACAGTGGAAGGTTTCGGGGATTCAGGCTGGTGAATTTTTATAAAACCAGAACAGCACCTGCAATGGATGCTTTCTGCAGCGGACAAACAAATGTTGGAGAAAAACTGAACACCATAAGGAGTTCAGGGAGCAAGGGAGGCAGGGCCGGAGGTGCAGTTCAGGCTCCGCCACCCACTCAGCAACGCAACTGCAGCTCTCACCTGTACACGAGTTACTAGTTTAGTTGATCCTAACGTGCTTTTTATACTCTGATTTTTGTGGGACGTTATGTGATATTTCTGCAAAACAATCAGTGGAAGTAATTGTCATTCTGTGCATGTTGCAACAGGAAAAGAAGAAATCAAGAACCCGAAGGCCGAGAGAGCAATCACCTTGTTCAACCAGCTCAGAGCACTGACAGGAGAGCCCCCATTGCACCCGAAGTTATTATAAGAGCAGTCGATGACCTGCTGGGCACTGAGGTCTTCCAAAGGTTGCCCTCGGATGGCCCACGCAGACTCCACTGCTCCCACCACGCTGAAAGCCCAGCACCCTCCACACTGTTCAAAACAGAGAAGGCAGAGTATTTATGATCAAGCAGCAGCATCTCGGTCAAATATATTGGTGTCTCTAAATATAAAAAGTTAGGAAATTCAATAAAATGTCCCGACTCTGGAAATCTATAAAATATACCTGTCCATCCTCTAGCTTTTCAAGTTCAAAATGAAAACAGCATTCTCTTCGGAACACCAAGATCTAATTAGTACTTAAAGCTCAATTAGTCATGCTGCTGCTGTAAATAAAATATACGATGCAGTAGTGTTGCAGAGATTAGGAAAACCGTAAGTTAGCGGCGGCCTCTCGAAGTCCGTGCTCACTGAACGTCTCACTTGTGTTACCAGCGGATTCTGTTCCAGAGACTGTCCCTCGGTTCCGCCCCACCCTTCAGTCCTCACTCCTCCTCTGACTCTGGCTTCACGGCCACCGTCGCCTCCGTGATGAGGTGACTCAAGGCAGTGGTGAGGACATGTGCGCCCTCACCGTCCCACATGAATAGGAGTCGCGTGGACGGACATCAAGACACAGAACCGGGCTGGGGATTCAGCTCAGTGGTTCTGCTGTCTGCCCTGAAGGTGCAAGGTCCTAAGTTCAATCCCTGGTACAAAAAAAGACACTGAGAACTGAGTGAGGTTATCACGGATGCCCAGACACCTCCTATCGGATGAGCAATATTCGTCATTTCTCAGATGGTGGCTGCCATGCTTGCTTTCTGTGGACACATTTATCTGCTTTTAATGAACAAAGATGAGCAGCAGAACAAAAGGCTGATGCTCAGAGAAAGGGAGGGGATGAGGGAATAAAATCAGGGATGTCAGGATTTGATATCCGCCCTTAGTCAAGCCACAAGAGCAACTCCTACTAAGAGAACCTCTCCACTATGGTCCTTTTCCAATGATTCCGATTAAAAGTTATTCTTTACTTGAATGGAGGCACTTCTTGGAAGAGACGGATGGTGGCTAACTCGCCGCTTACTGTGAATTCGATAATAAAGCAAAGGATTTGATGGTAAAATTTAATCACACTGAAAATGAGCACCAGAAGTGATCATTCGAACTGGACAGAGACTGAGAAACTGATGGATGTAAAAAGTGCTCTCCTCTGAGGGAGGCGGACGGACCTGTTGAGATTTCACTGTGGACAGAGGGAATATTCTGCCGTTCTTGGGTGCTGTCTTTCCTTAGTGGGTTAGCATTCCCTGTGCCCACGGTGGGTGCAGACGGGAGGGGGACGTAGCGAGGCACACTCCCTCTGCAACGTCTAGAAGCCGGCTGGGTCCTGTGCGCTCCAGTCACTCTCACTCACCCCCGGGGGCTACCACTTCCCTCCTGACCTCAGACGACCCTCCGTCCGTCCATCACAACGAGCCGCAAGCTGCAGACCTTCCTGAAGCGACACTGGGTCCTTTTCAAGCTAAGTTACTGCTGTACTCACTGCAGTGCTTACGTATTACTCAGTCACTCAACATGTGTAAAGTTGTGCGTCATGTTTGTTAGTTTCCATCTGCTTCTCGGGTGTAACAGTATGACTTTACACACTATACTCTAACCTCATTTCCACCACAACCCCGTCCTTGTATCGCACAATTCTGCACAGGTGGTCTCTTTCGCCACGTGCATGTCACCTTGGACTGGAGCTGACTGTGCTCTGAAGGACACAAACTGAAAACGGGATGACACTGTGGGGGCGAGGCGGCGGCTGTGGGCTGACAGGAAGAAGCGGAGAATCCAGGAGTTGCGACTGTGCTACCGGGTGAACAGAACCAGCCTCACTTCCTCTTTGCGCTGTCATTTTCCTTTTGAGTTACCTAAGTAGTTGTCGTGTCTCCCTCCTCTGGCCTGATGCCTGCTACCAGGTGTGGCATCTCTGGCATAGCTACCGGAAATCGTGGCTGAGAGGGGATACTGGGAGAAACAGCAGTTAATGAGGGGACACACCAAAGGCAGATTTATCTTCAGATTTTGACACCTGCCTCTTATTCCTCAAAGATCCTCCCTTCCTTGTCATTTTTGAATGACCGAGTTGTGATTTTATTGGGTTTCTTTACAAGTTTGTTTGAACTTGATCCCGGAAGCACCTTCCAATTCTTTGCAAAGCACAAAACGGACCTGAAACTTACCATCTGCTGGTTTCTCACTGGTGTTACAACGTGCTTGTCCCTCCAGTCAAATCTTAACGGCAAAGATGTGTTGGGGATGGATGCCCGCACTTTTGCTGGGTATCTGGGGAGCCTGGAAGGTTTGCTTCTTAAATAAATGGCTGAGTAGAAAGAAGAAATGAAACGAGAATGCATAGTGCACTAGGAGGGCCCTTGGGCTCTCTCTGGAGCAATGTTTCAAGTAAAATAGAAACTTTCTGATAAATCTGACATTTGAAGTTTTCCTCTTTGCTTTTCTATACCGTGAAATGCATTCTACTGAAAGCTACAAGAGAAAATTCCCATAATTAGGTGGAAGCTCACATACAAAATGACTTGTTTGATAGAATCAGGTCAGTAATAAAAACTGAGCATATTGGGCAGCACTTCTTTCATTATAACTCATGAAAGCATGAGTGTTCCTAATGGAAAGAGTGCGGGAAACTAGAAGTGCTGCATGGACACGTGAATAGTTATAATGTTTAGTTTTTAAGGCAATAGCGAGCACAGAGAGGAGCCAGGACGGAGCTCAGTGGCACCGTGCCTGCCTGGCACGTGCAAGGTCTGAGTTGGATCTCAGGGCCTGGAAAAAAATTAGTACAGAGGGGCCATAAATATACTTTTCTCAAAATTAGGACATAGCATGTGCTTGATACATAGTAGTGGATAAATATTTAATCAACATCCACTACTACTTGATTTGCCAGATTTACAATAAAACAAGTCCTCAAAGATTGCAAAGAATTTAAAATCAGGAAATGAACAAATAATAATACCTTCAGGCCATACCTTTAAACTCTTCGGGAAACAAATTTGAAAACTGATTTATTCCATAAGAAGCAGTGGAGTTTTCATGTGGAAACCAAGAATTCAAGTATCGATGTCTATTAAGACTTTCCTAAAACAGAACAAAAGAAGCGATTTTGTACTTGCCACGTAAATCCTCCAAAGCATCTGTGCATGGCTAACCTGCAGCCGTTCTCAGGCCCCAAGTACAAAGCTTGATTCTCCGCAGGTCAGGACGAGACATCCAGATCAGATTTAGAAACACTTCATATTGAAAAACACTACAGACTTTCTAAAGGCGGAGAAGGGATCTTAACCATTTACGTCTCCTCTTCAGTGCACAGATTGAGAGCAGTACATATACATTATCGGAGTGCTGACAGAGTGGAAAAATAAACTGTAGGCAAGCTCTGGATATTAGTGGCAAATTGTCTCTTATAGACAGCCACTCGCGTGACTAAACAGTGATCAAGACAGAAATCCTCCTCCTCAACACTGTTTTCCTAAGCACCGAGAAAAGCTGCATGAAAAAAGATTGCGTGAGTCCAATCCTATGGAAGCTTCAGAGATAGCTCCAGCTCCTTCGGCTTTGTGAAAAGGATGCAACCCTGGAAATCTTCCAGGAAGATGCCTTGCCTTTTCTGTCTGGAGGGAAAAAAGGTGGCCCTTACGTGCAGATTTCTAAACTCTGAATTTTGTTCCAATTTATGTTAGGCTTGTCTTTTCCACGAAAAGTTTTTTAGTTTCCTAAATCATGCATGTTAATGAAACTTCAGAGGATTCTCATGCGGTAAGTTTCGAATTCCAGTTCCTTCACATATTGTTTTATGGACTTATGTGTGTATTGTTTGTGTCTCAAAAACCACCTGGTTCCCCACCCTGCCTCAAATAAGTGCAAGGTCTGGAGTTCGATCCCCAGTACAAAACAAACAAACAAAAAACAACAAAAACCCAAGACACCAAATGGGGGCAAGATTATCAGTCTTCTCCCCACTGCTGCCCATGCCTAGCTCATCACAGCTCCTCGAGGACATTTATTATGTAACAATCAGGCCAGTGACATCTTCCAGAAGTCTTTGCCTTCGTAGCTTTGAGCCAAATAATTTTTATGAAATATTTACTAGTAGTTACCGTGGTTTTTTTTTTTCTCTTTATCACACAATCCTAGAATAAGGGCTTACACATCAAGTGATACAATTTCCAATTTCTGGTTTTTGAAATCTTGGTGAAGCAGGGCTTTGAAAATAATCTGGATATATTAATATCAAAATAAAACTACGATACAAGACACTTCCTTCTGTGGCCAGTGGTAAACAAATCAGAGACTACTGCCTGCTAAGAGATTCAGGAGAACCCCTCAGGCCCTCAGCGATGACTCTTTCCCGAACTGCTGCATTCGGGGAGGGCGCTGGGAACACAGGGGTGGCAGTGTGGATGTATCCTGCCTCTCTCTGGAGGCTCCGTGCTGCTGGCAGGGTTGTTACCACCACGCACAGAAGGCCAGGGCCCCTCAGCCGTGCGCCTGGCTAGTGACAGGGAGGGGTTAGCAGCGGCTGGCAGAGGCTGGGCATTTGCAGGTGACGAGGATGCCTTGACAGCTGGTTTCGATTACTGACACACCTCTTGGCCCTGCCAATCCTTCAAGCATCCCCGCACTGCGCAGCAGAATGGGGGCACTTCCCCAGCCTTTCTTTCCCCCTCTTTCTCTCTGGTTCAGGGCAACTTTGGTGTGGGACAGCTACCAGCCCTCTCCCCAGCCCCTCACAGGCATTGCTTCTGTGGTTTAAGAATGAGAGAAGAGAAAGGGAAGACACAAATACCCCATATCAAGAATGAAAGAAGGAGTGGTGGCGCACGCCTGTAATCCCAGTACTCGGGAGGCTGAGGCAGGAGGATCTCTGTGAGTTCGAGACCAGCCTGGGCTGCATAGTGAGTTCCAGGTCAGTCTCAACTACATAGTGAGACCCTGTCTCAGAAAAAAAAAAAAAAAGAATGAAAGAAGGAGTGGTGGCGCACGCCTGTAATCCCAGTACTCGGGAGGCTGAGGCAGGAGGATCTCTGTGAGTTCGAGACCAGCCTGGGCTGCATAGTGAGTTCCAGGTCAGTCTCAACTACATAGTGAGACCCTGTCTCAGAAAAAAAAAAAAAAAGAATGAAAGAAGGACCACGAACAACTCCACATGCTGCAGGCATCCGAATCACAGGGTGTCAAGAACTTGAAGCCAATAAATTGGACAGCCGGAATGAAACAGACAAACTTCCTGAGAAACACAGATACCAGACCAGTGGGAAACTGCAGCAGCCATTTATCAACTAAAGGGATTAAACTGTAATTGAAAATTGACTCCCAGAGAAAACTCCAGGCCCAGATGGTTCAGTGGAAAATTCTATACACTTAAGAAAGAAATATCACCAATCTTACAGAAAATGAAAGACAAGGGAATACCTTGTAACTCAAACAAGACAAATATTACCTTGATACTGAAACAGAAACAGGTATATCATCAGTGATCTGCCTCGCAAATAGCTCTCGTGAATATAGGAGCAAAGTCCTGAACCAGATGTTATCAAATAAAATCAACAATGCATTAATATTGGGTTGAATACTGGTTCACTATGGTTGAATATTTAAAAAACAATCTACAGAGGACACCACATTAACTGAATATGGGAGAAAGAGAAAGAGTATGATATTTTAATAAATGTATAAAAAGCACTTGATGAAATTCAAAGCTATTTCCTGATAAAATTTGGAGCACATTGTGAGATGGAAATAGCACTTCCTTAACCTGATTGAGGAGATACATAACAAACCCACCTCTTACTTAATGGTGAAGTTCTCAATGGCTTCTTCTTCAGAGGGGAGAAAAGAATGAAGGCATATTTTTATTATTTTTATTTCACAAACATACTTATTTTCTTCAATAAAGGAACATAAATAAAAATAAAACTTTTTTTTAAAAAAAGAATTAAAGCTGTCAATCTTTGAAGAAAACCAGTTGTTACGGCTTGTACCTCAAGGTCCCCCAAAGCCTCATGTGCTCATTCACAGCTGGAGCTTGGGGGTGGCTGGATTGTGTGTGTAGGCGGGGTAACTAAATCAGTCTGCTGGTCGATTGCCTGATGGATTTCCTGCGAAGGCCCACCCAGATGAGGCTGGCACTGCCCGACAGGCCCGTACAGGATGGGGCAGATGTCCAGCAGGCCTGCTGCCTGGGGCCTCCTGCTTGCTCCTTGAGGACCTGCTTCTCTCTGTGACACCCTCTGCTGTGCCGCCCTGCCTTGGAGCCAGTACACTAAGGACTGAGCCTTTACACGCTGTGAGCCCAATAAAGTTTTCGCCTTTCTTGTCTCAGCAGTGAGAAAAGCAACTAAAACACCTATGTACGAAGCACAAGGAAATTTGTAAAAGTACTACTTGAACTAATAAGTAAAGTTTAGCAAGTCTATAAGAGACATAATATCAATACAAACAACTATTTTTGAAAAAGCATAAACTACTAGAAAATGAAATTTTAAATTAAAAAATTTTAATGAATATTATAAATTAAATGAATTTTAAAACATTTCTAAATAAATATATTCAACAAAAATATTTATGATTTGGATGCTGAAATCTAAAAAGTATTACAAAACGAAATTGCCAGAATTCATAATTAATGTTTATCGATACCATTCATGGTATGGACAACTTAATAATTGCGGCAGTGATCTTCCCCAAATTTATTTATAGATTCAAGGTCATTCCGGTCAAAATCCTACCTTATTTTTCAAAGAAAACAATAATTTGACATCTTTTACAGTTCAATATCAAAGGAAGAAATAAAGTCAAAATTATTGACATCCCTCTCTGCCTCGTGCTCAAGCACCGGCCAGCTTCTCCAGGAGTCCCTCTGTCAGACTCCAATGCTGTGCCACAGCAAGTGCGCCTGTCACTTCACAGCTCGCCACGGCCCACGGCAGGTCGGGCAAAGTGTTCACTTCTTGGCGAGAGCAAGATACTGCAACGCAAAGTCCTGGGTTTCACTCCCTTCCTCCACTGTTCCCGACCCAAGACCACTGGTAACATTACCAGCACTTCCCTGCTCCCGAACAGAGCACAGCTCTCCCACAGGCCTATGTTTTGGGATGGGCTCCTCTAATCTCTAGTTAACTGCAACAAACTTACCATTGCCGCCAAGTCCTTTTTAGTAGTCTGCAGTACACAATGTACTGCCCTCAAGGTGGGGAACTGCTGTATGTGCATAATATATCTTCATTCTTGCTGTTTTTTTTAATTCCCAAAGCCTCCTGCTGTGAAAACTTTAGCTCTATACTGGGACTACTTTGAACTTTATTTTCTCCAGTGAAAAAAGGGATAATACCGACCTTACAGAAAGTAAAGGTTAAATAAGATAGGGTTCGGAAAACTCTCCAGTGTGGCTGGAAGGATGAATTTCCCATTTAAATATTCTCAAGTTCTAGCTTCTTTTTTGTTTGAACATTGAGCGCTTGAATTATAGTAAATGTCACTCAAATATCACACTCTCAGATTTACTTGGATAAAAGTGGAGCAAATATTTCTCGTGGTATTGGAAAGGGGGATTCATTATCTATTTAAAGATTATTTTGTTTATCAAAAATTACTACAGTATATCCAAAATTATTTTCCTGTTTTCTATAATCGTAGAACACATACCAAGTCTACCTAACATAGGTTTGTATTATTAAAATTATTCAAACTTTTAAATTTCATTTCTCAAATTACCCATTTTTCAAGTGATGGGGACTTTCCCTGTCGACCTCGACTCTGGTTGTCCTTCCAGATTTCAGAGAAGTGTCACCAACTGTGGGTCTGCGTTAGGCTCTTGCTTCTCAGGATATTAAGTTAGTGGCATAGAATCAACACAGATGAAGGGTCAGTCATTTTGTTCACGTAAGGCAACAGAGGAAAAACAGCCAGCATGATAGAGCGGCCATCCCTAAAGCTGTAGGATATGAAAATAGTTTTAAAAATGGTTTCTGCTGCTGGGATGGAACTGGGGCCTCATCCAGCGTGGAGCTGCTCCCTCAGGCCCAAGATCTGAACTTTCACGTGAGAAAGATGCGAAGCTTTAAGAAATACATAGAAAGCTTTTCATTCGTAGTTTTCAAAGTGCAGAAATCGGAGAATTAGATGGATTTTATGTGAGAAAAAATAGAGCTGTAAATCTAGGAGCCTTTGAACAGATCTGGTGAAAAAACTACCTTCATTTATTTTTTATTTAATTAAATGCACTCAATCCAGTGAGTTACAAGGAGATTTGGAAGATTTCTGGGCCTCAGGGCTGGAGCATCTTGAGGGAATTATTGTCAGCTCGTGCATAGACCCTCCCAGAGCCCCGTGTGGTCTCAGGTGGGCTCCCGGAGCTGTACAGCCCCGTGTCGTCACCGGCATCACCCTGCAGGATCAGGGCCGCCCTCTCCAGGGCCAGGCCAGGCCAGGGCCCCAAAGGACGCGAATACCAGCTGCTCTGTGGGAAACGCCGCGCGTCACCAACACAAACTCGCACCCGGGCTTCCCGAGCCAGCAGTGTCTGCAGCAGCCACGAAGGCTGAGGAACTTTCTGCCCAGGACTCGCCCGGGAGGTGTCCCGAGAGGAGCCCTGTCTTCCCCGGGAGAAAGTGATGAGCAAATGTCCTGGGTTCCCCCCACTGCCGCCTGCATCTGACCCGGAGAGCTGGCCGACACAGGATTCCGTAGTGTCAGCCAGTCCAGCTGTGACAGAACGAATACTCGAGGTAATCAGTGTCAAGGAGGAAGGGTCACTGCGGCTCGGGGTTTCAGTCCAGAGCAGCGGGCCCTGCGGCTCCCGGGCCAGGGGAGCAAAGCCAGCACAGCAGGCGCGGGCAGAGGCCTCTCTGCCTCACCAGCCCAGGCGGAGCGCAGGGCAGGGGCCCCATGGACAGAACTGCCTCCCGCCGGGCCCACCTGCCTCAGGCTGTCCGGGACACTCCAGGCGCTCACAGGGCGCTGTCTCGACGTCAAAGTCCTCCCTTGTTCCCTAAATCCGGAGATCACGACTTCATAAAGCAGGTAGGCGCCTTCTACGGCCGCGCCCAGCCACCTCCCAGTGGACGCAGCACCGCGCTTGAGAGGGCATCGCTGATAACCAGTTTGCAACCACGCTTTGGAGGCAGGCTGCGGAACCACTGAGCTAAATCCCACAGGGGCTGCTCCTTGGAAAGACAACAAAATTACCACTCTCAGCGCTCCGGGGCTGCCTACTCTCCCACGCTGTAGTTTACAGGCGGTCCCTAGCTCCCTGGGGCGTTTTGCTAATCAATTTAACTCTCCAAGCTTCATTTTCTAAAAATGTACTTCATTGTGCAGCGAAGAAATTTCCTATATTTTATACACAATGCACCAGTTACGTAAACAGCAGAGTCGCAATCAACAGCTCGTGAGTTAACATGGCTTTGTAAAAATAAAGCTTTATAGTAGTTACGCTTGAGTTTTAGTTATCACATCCTTCAGACTTTCCTGAGAGAGTAGAAGAATCCTTCCAAATCGGTATCACCCTTCCCAGGATGTGTGCGGCAGCCGTGTACTTTCTCTTTCGTCGTCTGCACGTCTTTACCCTCATTTCATACGCTATCACCTTAACATTTGCATTAGTGAACTATACTAAAACACATCCAGGACTGGCTTCCCTGATCTCCAGCCCTCACACACGCTTTCCTGGAGGCACAGCAGCCTGTTTATCTGGCCCTGGAACGCGCCCTCGGGGTAGGGAGGAAGCGCAGGACAGGAGTGGGCACCAGGCAGCGGCCTGCGGAGGTTTCTGATGCCCTGCCTGACTTCTCTATTTCCTGTTTCTTCCCCTTTCTTACTGTATTGGGGACTGAACTCGAGGCCTTTGCAGTGAGGCCTCGCTCGGAATGCGCGAGTCTCCTCCCAGTAAATCAGTCGCGAGGGCTTCTCTGCCAACTTCAGGTCCTGACAGGGGACTCGGCTGGCGGAGAGGCAAACCCTAAACCAGCGGCCCCCGGGACAATTCATCGCCCGCTGGAGCCAGCAGGAGGCTTCGCCCCAGCCCCGGAGGCAGGCAGCGCGGGC